GTCATCGAAGCAGTGTGTGTGGACGGGGAGAATCTGATCTTAGCGAAGACAGGTTCCACGTTCACCCGCATCACTGGCCGGGGGTGATACGCTGTCCGTTTTTGGTGGTGGCTATCGCACTGTTACTACGGTCGCGAAATAAATCTTATCTTTCATATTTTTATTAAAAATTGGCTCACTCGCAATTTTTCATTTATAACACCAAGGAACCAAGAGTACCAAAGACAAGCCAGCAGCATGATGCAGAGTTACCAACAGCAGGAGGAAAGTGTCTATGGAAAGCAAAACATTGATAGACAGAAGGTTAAAGGACAAGGGATCACATAACCATGTCCAGTGTTTTCTCTGTAACATGCACGTGAGAGAAGGCAGACAGAGGAAAAAAGCATTAGAAAATAATGGGATTTTCCTTTATTAGACACTAGGAAACCACTGGGAGCACACTAATTTATGTGTCTCCTTTACCTAAATCAAAACTGAAGAAAAGTGTTAGGTATGCAAGCGGGGGAAGAAAATTTACACAAGACATTTTAAAGTAAAGCTTGAGGAAACCAGCATCCACTGTGGCAATTGCACATATGAAATAAATATATTTTCCTCCTTGCAATATTAGTTTTACTGCACCATTAGTCTGGAACTATTACCCCAAATCCAAGGTTCTTTGCTTCTCCAGACCCTGAAGGTACCATTCCATAAATACAGCCTCTAAACGTATCCCTTCATCTATGGCTTGGATGAATGAAGTCAGTTTGCTAAATGATTCATACTATTTTGTGTTTTCCTTTCCAATAACTACATGTCAACCACAAATCTTGTTTCCAGATAATTTAGAAAACTGTTCAACAGAAATAATCCTCACAGTCTCCCAGAAACACTCTCTTCATTCCTCATCTCAATCTCTACTTAATACCTGTCAGTCAGATATGATCTGGCTTAATGATCCTGTTAGAGTCAAACACTGTTGGTTTTACTGTGCCTACTCAGCACAAGCCCATTCTGATTGTTCATTAGTATGAGATTTGCTTCTTATAAGAGCATCTTGTACCTGCCTTTTTTATGACTCTTGTTATAAATGAAAATTGCGAGTCAGCCAATTTTAATAAAAATATGAAAAATAAAATTTATTTCGCGACCGTAATAACAGTCCGATAGCCACCACCAAAAACAGACAGCATATCACCCCCGGTCGATGATACGGGTGAACGAGAGGAAAGCACCCCCCCTGGTACTTTGACCTCCCCGTCCACACCAACTGCTTCGAGGTAGCAGTTCTTATACAGTTTATTGCGCCCGCGGCAGAAAGTCTTTGTTTCTTTCGGAGTTCTTCATATTCATGTTGGTATCTTTCTCTGGCTTGGGCTGCACAAAGCCTTCGTCCGGGAATAGAAGGATGCACTTCCCTGGTTCCCGGAATCTGGCATTCAGATTCAGGGTGATGATGATCCTGGCCCCCCTCAGATAGGCATCTCGTCTGGGCCATCAGCACCTGGCTTGGGCGTAGGTGCTGTTGAATGCTCGTCCTTGGTGCAGCTGGAGTCCTCTTTGGATGCAAATGCCGTGATATCCATCTGGCGCGGGTCATCTGGCCAAGAATTCCCAACCTGAAGGAAAAAGGGATTCTTCCCCCCCCCTCCCCGCAGTTTATTTTATACACTTATATTTTATACAGCGTTTATTTCCACGAATTACTAATTACATTCCTAACAACTTGATTTGGATCAGCTTTCAGGGGGATCATTTCTCTTGTCCATTTTAAAAACTGGCATTTTCTTCCTTCCAGTGCAGGACCTTATTCATCAAAGCTGTCAATAGCAGAGGTCTCAGGCCAGTTTTTTGGGACTCAGAACTGGGCAACTGTACCATTTCAAAGCACAGAGCATACATGTTAGCAGATACAATTTGAATGAAAACAGTTGGCCCGTGACTCGTGTCACAGGAAAGAGAGAATTGCCAGCCAGTCAGGCAGGCAGGTGTAATTCCCCAAGGCTTCCACATTTCCCTTTTTAAAAATGGGGGATATTTTCCAGTCAGTGAAAACTTCACCAGAGTGCCACAACTTCTCAAATTGATGAATTGTGTTTAGTCACTTCCTCTGTCAGCTCCATACAGGCCTCCTGGTGTTGCACCTGAGCTGAATCTCTTTAATAAAGGCATTAAAAATGAGAAAGATCTCCTGCCCATTTATTTCAGCTGCCTGCCTTTGTCTTTGTTGGGATGCATTGCTGCTGAGTTCAGAAGAGTGGATCCTTTAACATCAACCAGTTTGATGTAGGATTATAACTGTTATAACTGTTAAAGTTGCTAAGGCTCATGCCCACCAGAAGGCCCTGTGGGAAAGGCACAGCGCAGGCCGGAGGGCCGCAAAGCGTTCAGGGCTGAGGCCCCTGAGTAAGGAGAGAGTCAGCTGAATGACAGCTGGAAGTGAGGCTGTGATTGGCTGGAGGAACGCGTGGACAGTGTATGAGCATGAAGCTGATTGGATGACAGGACGCGTGGACAGCAGCACTGCAGCTGAGCCAGCCAATGGGTGCCCTCTTTCTGTTAAGTTTAGTTAGGCCTCAGTTTGGTTTCAGTTATGTCAGGTGGAGATTGAAGGCATAAAAATGTTGCGATTTCTGTATTTCAGTTATGTCAGGTGGAGATTGAAGGCATAAAAATGTTGCGATTTCTGTATTTCTGTAATAAAAGGCTCTCTTTCGGATGCATAAGGGGGTCCGTGTCACTTCGTTCCCCATTGCTACAGCCTTTTTGGGATCCTCTTCCCTCTAGGGTATTATCCCATAGGACTCTTTCAAGCAGATCCCATGTGAGTCCAAAGTCTACTCTCCTGAAATTGAGCACAGTGGGCTCGCTTCTCACCCTTGTCATTGCCCCAAGGATCGCAATATCCACCATTTCATGGTCAGTGCAGCCCAGGCTTTCCTTGAGCTTCACATTCCCTGTAAAATCGTGTCTCAGACGGGCTGTTTGGGTCCAATCCGGCTAGCTATTGACCCTAGTTCACACAGTCTTACATAGACGAAAGCAAAAGATTGAGAAGCCCTCTTCTCCACGTGGGAAACGTTCTCTCTTTATTCTAAGAGACACACCAGGCCCACAAACACATGGGAGAAAGAGACCTGCCCCTTCTTGCGGGGGACTTTATAGCCGGGGAATGGGGGGCAGAGGAAGCCAGTGGGATACAAGTGAGGAGGGGCGAGGGGAGGGACCACCGGGGGTATCGGGGAGAGGGGTGGAAGAGGGAGGAGCCATGTGAGAGAAGAAGGGGATAACAAACCGCGTGATATAACAAACTATTCAGTGCAATGTAAAGACTGCTCAGTGCAAACCCTTAATCACCCAGTGCAAAACAACAACTAAATAAACTATTTAGTGCAACGCAACAACTCCCCACTGGCCTGTCCTTGTTGGTGAGAATATGGTGGCATAGCACCTCTCCTCATTGTCTCCTCTACCACTCTCCTCATTGTCTCCTCTACCACTTGGAGAAGGAAATTGATATCAGTGTATTCCATGAAGCTCCTGGATTGCCTGCTGGGTGCCCTGCTGGGTTCTCCCCCCAGCAGATGTCAGGGTGGTTGAATTCCCCTATGAAAACTAGGGCTTGTAAACATGAGGCCATTCCTGTTTGTCTGTGATGACCCTCATTGGCTCATCTTCCTGCGCAGATGGCCCGCAGCAGACCCCCTCTGTGATGTCACCTGTCCCTGCCCTCCATTTAATCCTGACTCCTAAACTCTCAGTGAGTTCCTCATTCATCCCCAGGTGGAGCTCCATGCACTTCTGCTGGTCACTGGCATAAAGAGCAACATTGCCTCTCTTCTCCCCTGCCTGTATCCTTCCATTCCAACCCTCCACTCACAAGAGTCACCCCAACACATCTCCCTGTTGCTAATTAGATGATCACAGTCCTGCAGGCACATGAATTATTCTAACCGAAACGGTTCTCACTTCAAATGCCTTTGTTTTTTTCACTGTGTGAAGGGCAGAGCTTTTGAGGAGGAGGGGGATTGGCCCAGGATCCATCCTTTGGGGAGTCTCTGAGTGCAGAAAATGGGAGAGTTCCCAGCTCGGAGAGGCCCCAGCACAGGGAGGTCACTGCAACCCAGGAAAGCCCCAAGGGTCTCACTCAGGGCCACTGTTTACAGGGCCACAAGAGGTGGGCTTTAGTCACAACAATGTTTCATCCTGGCCCCACTTCAGGTCAGAAACTTTTTTGAAAGTGGGAGAAGAAGAATATTATGACATTAAAAAAAAAAAAAAAAAAAAAAAAAGAGGAGGATGAGCTCATTATATGGCCCCAGTTCCTAGAGCAGTTTTTCTGATAAGTTCCAGAGGAGCTGAACCCAAGGGGACATCCCGGGGTGCCCCCACCCTAAAACGCACCGCAACACAAGGGCTGTTCAAGGCCAAGGCCCAGTGAGCATTTTTGAGATCATGGTGCAGCCTAGGGGTGGGGGAATGATGCACCACCATTTATTGGCATCCAACTGGTAAGAGTTAGATAGACTCAAGTTCCCATTCCCCAAAGGCTTTAACTGCGTTCAGTGAGGTACAGCTAGATGTTCATCCTTGGCATTACTTCTTTCTGTCATGGGGGAAGTATCTCCACTATACATTTTTCCTCATCTTGTCCCATAAACATTTCAAATAAACATTTGTCACTAGTATGAATGACTTTCCCTAACCTTTACATGTAGAATTTTTATTTTACATCTTATCAAATAAGAGGTGGTCAGAATCTTCAAGATTTGAGGCTCCCTTTTGTCAAAAGAACCACAATTTGAGTTTAAAAAAAAATAGCTCAGAACAGGCATTGAGTTTGAGAAGAATGACTTCAAAAGTCAAATGTCGACTCGATGATGGCAAACTTCTTACAATGTTCATAGAAAAGTTTATCCTTTTCTGTTGCCTAATGAAAGCTGCAATACAGCAACTTACTGTTTGTCCTGCATGGTTCACCCAAAAAGGTGGATCCAAAAAGACTGACAGTAGCCAAGTTTAATTCTTATCTGTAATTTTTTATCACTCTCAAAACACAAAGAACAATTCATAAACATATATTTCTAAAACATGCTAGGAAAGCATGTTATCATATGCTTAATCCAGAAAATACGTATGGCCCAAGGATGAAAAAGAGTACATACAACACCTAAACATACATACAATATGCTAAAACATATTTATGCATATGGTAGTTTAAAAAATATTGTGATGAAATATAAGGTGCCAGCACTACAATATTAAAACTGCTAAAGCTGGTAATTTGAAATAGAACAACCAAGGATTAGCTTTGCATTACAAACAACTAAATCTGTCCTTAGTTACAAAAAATGCACAAGCTTCTGTGAAACAATCCATCTTGTGAGATTCAGCTTCAGCTTTTACACGACACGGTTGATCCTCGAGGTAGATTCCATCCCAATCTGAAGATGAACATATTGTCTATGGGGTATACCAAATTCAGCAGCTAACACAGCATCCAGCAATCAACACAACTAATTTGGGAGCTCTTTGTTTATGCACTGAAAAAAAGGCACTTTGCCATACAGGGTTCAGTTTCTTACTGGAAAGATCACCAAAGGTAAGAAAGGAAAAACACTGATAAAAATTAATCTCATCAAACCCTTTTTAACAGATACTTCCCCCAGCATGTGCAGGGAATGGATTCCTGTGAGAATCTCTAGTCAGACAGTACAGTCTGTGAGACAAAGAAAACAGAAAACTTCAGTGCCCAGCGTTCTTACCTTTCCTATCTCCAGACAAAATACACTGGCTGAGCTGGGCAGACTCCTTGCAGTGACAGAAACCAAGGGCCCACAGGCAAACCAAGTAACAACAAAGGTCTCATGACAAGGGGAGAAAAAAAACCCAAGAAAAAAACCCCAAAACCCCAGACTGCCTTAAGACATTGCACTGTATCTGCTCTCCCCACCACCTCTACCACTCATGCTCTCACCAAACTGGTGCTGCCACAAAGCTAACATATTCTGCTTATCCCCTCCCCCAGTCATTCAAGTTTTCTATCCTCACTGAGAAAAAAATTGCATGGAAAAAACCCAATGGAGGGGACAGCAAAGTGCATCATGATTGTATCATAAACTCTGGAACACAGAAGAATCTTTTGAATTAATGCACATACACACACAAAAAACCCCAAGGAAAATAAGCCAAAAATACTCAATTTCAGAAAAAAGTTGTTCTTAACTACACATAAAACTTATCTGTGAAGGCACATAGCCACACTGAGGCATGGCTTTCCTCTAGAGATCCAAGTGTCCTCCTATCTGAAAATTTCTTGCAATACAAGGCATTTGAGAGGCAAAACCCAGCTGATGTTGCAGGATACCCACATCAAACAGAACAAATTGGCAACAGGTCTGTGGTGCAAACACAACAGTGACTTGGGATGAATTACACCGGGAAGCAACCTCTTGCCAGAATTCACTGGCCTGGGAGTAACATGCTGATTTAATTTTCACATTAGAAAATACATTTCTGAATAAATTACACATAAATTTCTGTGTGTCAATAGAAACACAGTGGGTGTTGGATCAGCCTCCCTTTCTCCATGATAAAAACCAGTTTTATTTTTGGCTTCTTAGATTTTGTGGTCTGAAAGAGTAGTTCTCTGGTCAAACTGCAGTGTCAGAAAACAGAAGTGCTGCATAATTTGCTCAAGACTGTACAGAAAAATGCATTTTAATCTATATCTAGTCCATGGATAGCAATGTTTTCTCAGTGCTGAGTCCATTTAATGCTTTTGAGGTCAATTCCATCCTGCACCATTTCCCAGAGAGGGCTGTAAAGAAAAGGAGAAAACTGAGGGCTAGCTAAAATGCACAGGACATCATCAACAATAATTAAACAGATTTTATCAATGACACAAGGAATTAAGATGTATCTATCTGCCTGTCTTGCCCTTCTGGAGGTCAGTGAGCTTCAGGTAATCAGCCCTCAACTGTGCTCTCAACCAATACAAGAGATGAGAGGGCAGATGCTCCACCTCATTTCCTGCTCCTACTTTCAGCATAAAGCACTGGTGTCTCTGAGACTGAATCCTACCATTTTCACTGTCCACATTAGTCACCAGTCTTTCAGTTTCACTAGAATAAACCAACTTATCAATACATTAACTCAGGAATACCATCTCTGGCTTAAAATCTCCAAGGTACTGCCCTATGTGCCTGCCCTAATCATATTATTTTTCTGACAAAGACAGGATCTGGGAAAAGGTTTGGTGTCAGGTTTGTTTCCTTAGAAATTTGTCACTAATGTTAAAATCAGGCTCCTACAGGCTCCTACACACCTCAGGGACACTGCTGCTAAACTTTTAAAAATGTTAAAAACAAGTGATTGGCGTTTTTCACACTGATATAGAGAAACACCACCAGATTCTTGAAGCAAACAATTACTTTCAACTAAATAAATTCAATTCTTCCCATGATTATCACACCTAAGAAGTCTTTGTGTTTCACAAGACAACATCTCACCTCATTTCCCTCAACCTCTTCACATGCTGTATGCACTTCTGCACTGTATAATCCACTTCTTCTTCTGTAGTGAAACGACCAATGCCAAACCTAAACCAAAAGAAAATCATTAAGGAACTGAATAACAAGGATACGGAGGGAGTGGAACAAATCTACCATTTATTTTTATCAGGAAAGAAAAATATTTGGAAGCATAAGGGCAGACCACACCACACACCTTATAGATGAGTGAGCCAAGTCTTCATCTGTTCCAATTGCCCGCAAAACATAGGAAGGCTCCAGAGAAGCTGATGTGCAAGCACTGGGAAAGGGGAGGCAGGGAAATGTCAGACTTTTGCTTAATCTCCTCCAACAAAGAATAGGTTGCTTACCTCTTCACAACAACGTGTACCTACTTCCCCAGCCTCCTAGAAACCACAAGTGAATACAAGCAAGTAAAGTGATATTTCTGCTACTGAAGAAAAAAGAATACAAGAAGCAGGCATTATTGAGAAAGTAGAGTAATAAATTAGGAGTATAAGGAAAGGAAAGAGAATACAGGTAATACACAAGAATAAACACAATGCCACACAGTGGCAGCAGGAATGCAGATTAAGAGGTAGTTGAAGTAGAGGCTGTGAAAAAAAGACAAAGACAGAAACTATCCACAGAAGATAACACACCAGGAACATAAAAGTTAAAAAAAAAAAAAGACTTCACAAGCTGTGTTTGGCAGCAGAACAAATAAATGAAAAACGGTGTACAGAGGGATCCAGAACAAGATGACTGCAGTTGTCAATAGAGAGAGCTTCCACTTTGCAGCAGTACACAGAGCTGGTTACACGCTGTGACTCAGGTTTTACAGGTAGCAACATGCAGTGCCAATTGGAGAGCTGTAAACAGCTCCCCAGTGCACAAAGTAGAGAGTCAAAAGAGATCTTCACATTACAGAAGCGTTTGGCTTCAGGGATGGTCATGTGGAGACTTGCTCTTCCTGCTCACAGAGCCAACTAGTTTCTAATTAGGATATGCTGACCGCTTTGTTCTCAAAGGTGAGAGAAGGAGAGTAGGGGCATCTTTACACTCCATTAATTTCATCCTGAACATCAGGTTTGTCTTGGTAACTGAAATATTACTCGTCACTCCCGTAGTCAGGAGAGCTCCATAAAAACACATGCAATTTTCTTTCCCACTTTTACATTTAACACAGGAACTATGAGCTGATTTAATTCAGATACGTGCCCAGCCTCACTAACTGCAGTAAAAATCTGCCAAAGGACAGAAGCTGTTCAAATCTTGGTGGCCTTTAGAATAAAAGTGTCACCAGTAGAAGTTAAGGCTACTCAAATAACCAGTTTGCAAGGCTAGTAGGTAGGAATTTCTGGGTTAGTTTTTGTGGTTTTGTGGGGGTTTTTTTGTTAGGATATTTTTTGGTTGTTTTTTTGTTTAGTTTTGTTTGTTGTTTTTTTTCTTCCAGGACAAATAAATTTGACCTTCAGTTGAAATGTGTCACTTAAACACCACTGTAGAATGTAATCAATACCAGGCTGACTCATTAACTGAATATGCAAATACAGAGCACACAGGAAACTACTACTTAGCTTTTACCTTCATTAGCAGATGCTATTTTCTCTCAAAAATACACTGCTATCCTTCCCATACATTCCACATACCTTCCTGAAGACAGAGCCACATCTTTCAGAGCCATCAGAAGACTCTCCCCTTCCACATATGCAAAAGATAAATTGATGCATCCTATATACAAACAAATGAAATCGAAAAAAGAATCCATCAACTGAAATCTCAGGCAAATTGTCCCCTGCAAGGCAGGATTTGCATCATGTGCTCAAGTGCATTATTCAGCCATGGCCATTAACACCAAGGGGCCAGACAGTACTAACGGGCTCACAATTTTGCTTGAGTTACCTGGATAGCGATGCTCTTGATCTCCATTCATCACCACATCAGGAACTTCACTCATTATTTTCGTAACCAGTCGTTGTGCCAATTGTGAGATTCGCTTATGGTCATACTAACAGAGAAACCAAAAAAGACACAAATAATAAACAGTGTACAGACCTCACTCAAACTGCTTCATGTCACCAGCTGCAAGCAGAATTAAGTAACTGGGTTTGGCCAGACAAGGGAATGAACACAGCTGAAACTTAAACTGTTAAACTTTGCCTGCTCTAGACACTGTTTCAAAAGAGAATAACTCCTTGGCTCCTTGCTAGCTCAGTCTTCACAAATGTTTCAAACTGTTCAGAAAGATCTACCTACACAAGCTGCCAAACTGACTTTCATACCAGCACTGGGTTCTTTGGGTTTAAAGACAAGTTAGGCATGCAGAAGATGATGCATTTTGCACACAAGAAAGGGCATCTATTACGACAAGTGCCTCTTATTTCCAGGAGCTCTCTAACTGTACCACAGAAAGACATGGACTTGCAAATGACTACGAACTCAGCTTTTACAAGTAACCTGCATGGTGAGAACTGCCCATGTGCAGTGTCTTGCTCTAGACTGAAAAATGGGGTCACTTATACCAAGAAAGCAGTAAGGTGTGGGATCAACTGTGGCACACAGGACTGGCCACATGCACACATGCAATGCACGCTTGTTTACACTTGGAAAAGAAATCCAGGCTAGCTCCAACACCAGTTGGTTTTAAAATGCTGTAGCTCTGCCAGGCAAGAAGGAGAATCTAGATTGGAAGTTTGTGCAGAATTCAGACTCTGCAGGCTCCCTAGCCTCAACTTCCATAACCACACAGTTCAGATGGTGGAATTCTGCCTGTCTCCTGGAAAGAAGCCTGATCCTTGGGTGCAGATATCTGGCCTATGCATCCCATTGTCACTGTAAATATTTTTACATTCCAGCTGTAAGGAAGGCATTGGTGCCCACAAACCAATGTAGCAGCATACAGAGGCTCAGACACCAGACCTAGCAAGTAAACTTTACTGTCCAAGCTAGGAAAAAAAAAAGAAAATAAATTCTTAGTTTCAAAGCTGCAGTAAACTTGAAATTATACTTAATAGGTACAATACATATAATAACAGACTGGGAAGTCTTATTTTTTCAATATACATTACATAAACATGACAGTAATTTCAAAGATGTTGCTAATACACATGTGCATAATGGAGAAGTAAACACAAGCACATAAAAGCCATATTTCACTAAAACTGACTGTCAGTTGTAGCTTTTTTGTAGAAAACTATGACTCTTCAAGAAAAAAGAAACTTTAGAAAGAACTTACAATTACCCAAAAACATCCCTTAAATTCTCAAAACATTCACTTAATGCTAAAACATGAGAATCAAATTTAATTCAGTTACATGGATGCAAAAAGACCTAAGGAATCCAAGACTTAAATGGCACTGTTACACTAGTTTCTGGAACCCAGGACAAGTATCTTGTTGCACATACCTCCATCTCTTGCTGTGCCACTTCACATGCTGCCCCCAGTCCCACTGCCAGAGGTGTGGGCACAGTCCCAGACCGCAGTCCTCTCTCCTGGCCTCCCCCACTCTGCAGGGGTTCTAGCCTGACACGTGGTCGACGGCGAACATAGAGAGCACCAACCCCTTGGAAGCAAGGAAAGCTGTTTTATCATATACCCAGAGTTCTGAAATTATGAACAGGGACTCCAACCTTTGGTAACATTCCTTATTTCCACAGCAAACACACATGTGGGCACTTAACTGGAGAAAAATAAAGTGAACAAGTTCAGTATTATTTTCTAGGAAATGGTGTTTGTCCACAGTAACTATGTTGAGGCTCACAGAGCTTCAGCCATAGGAGCTCAGCTTCTTCCAGTCTGCCTCAGTCACCCAAGGACTCCGCTTCCCCTCCTTCCCACAATTCCTGTACACAGCGGAACTGCAGCCCCCTGCACTGAAGTTTTTATGGGCATTCACCAATGTTCTCTTACTGACTTCCAAATTCTTTCCCTGGATTACTAGACCAGCACCAGTCCCAGGAGTCCTCTCCCTTTCTTCTCATTAGGAAGACTCATTAGTGGCAACAATTTTCAGCGGGTGGATTAGATGATCCAGTTTTGCTAGTCAGTCAATTTAGTGCTCTACTCTCCTCACCTTGAAACCAAATTTTCATGTCTTCGAGTGCCCTGGCACACTTAAGGAATGACTGTCACCACAGGAAGGACAGTTACAACTTCCAGGTATAACAAATGGTGAAAATTTATGTCTGTCATCTGTCCAAAATTACGAGTTGAAAACTTAGTCCTTGTCCAGAGATAATGTCTTCAGCTCTCAGCAGAACTCATACAAAAAAAAAAAAGCCTTGTTGAAAAATAAGAATTTGTCTTTTGATTCTGAATAGGATAACAAAAGTTATGTTTTATATATAATGTTATAACGTTATAAGTTAAAATGCTGTATGTATAGCATACAGCAAACCTGATTTCTGGCTCTCTAACACTCACTGTCACAAGCCAAATGGACCTTGACAATAACAACAGCTGGATTTTTAGTATTTGTCAGTCAACCAGAAAATGCATAGCTGGATATTAAACCCCATTCTGCAAAGAAAATGCACAAATGGAGTTGAGGGAATGGAGCCACTGGAAGTGGAAAACAATCAAAAATCACCAATCAGTTACCTTTTGGTCTCCTTGTTTCAAATCACACTCTGGTCTAAACTTTGCCCTATAACCAAGTGATTTTATTTCAATAATTTCAGCATTAGTTCTGCTTCACATCAGAAGCAGATGACGCCTGAAAAACCCACTGCTGCAATGCTGCCACAATCATACAACACTGTTTCTTCCTTCAGTGAAGCCACCTCAACCCATCTAGCATTGAAGATCCACTTACCGCAGCTCTACGCGGGCAGCAGTGCCTGAACTACTCTGAAGTCTGTCCAACACCATTCAGAAGAGTTTTCTACAGCTTAAGTAACTGACACTATGACAAATGGGTTTGACTTTGCACCTTGTGTAGTTACCTTAAGGTAGGTATGAAAACAACAATTCCCTATAAGTCACTTCAGTTAGTACCTTTGGGCCCATAGATTTTATGGCCACTGATGCTCATTAGGTCAATTTTCATGTTGTTGACATCCATAGGAATTTTACCAATTGCTTGTGCAGCATCCGTGTGGAAGAAAACCTTATGTGCACGGCAGATCTCACCTGTAATAAAAACACCAAACCAAAACCAGATTACCTTAACTAATTGCTATGATACCAAACATTCCAGCAACGGATCTAAAGCATGACTGAATCTAAACCAACAGCAAGTTACTGAGGTGTCTGAGGTGACAAAGGCAGAAATGAGGGCTGTGATGTTCCTTTTACACTGAAGTGGCTAAAGGTGTGCAGGGGCTACTGTATGCCTTGGCACAGGTTTAGGCAGGTAAGACTACAGTGAATTTCTCCAGGTGAGAAGTTAAAAAGTCTTCTGTTAAGAACTGAGATTATTTCCAAACCCACACCTAACAAATTTAAGAACAAATGGTTGCATGAAATATCAAAGTCTCCACACAGAAATAACTCCACAGTTGGAAAAAATTGTTTTTTCTTGGTTCTTTTTCTTTTCAACATCCAGTACAAGCCAGCCTTCCTTTCAAGTTTGTATTTGCCATGTATTTTTACGTCTTTCCCTCTATTTTCCAAGTTTTACAACACTCACCTTCAAAAACATTCTCAGAATTGTCACACACACACTTATTACTACCGCATGAAGTCAGCTGAGCCTGTCACCAGGCTAAAATATATGAAGAAATAATGTATTGTTCATGGGCAGTAACTATTATTTATTTGTGTCATCAAAAAAATCACACCACATCTTCCACAGAATCTGCACAGCTGCATCGGAGACCTCTCCTCTGCACAAGAGGTTCAACATGGCACTTCACAGGATAAGTAACCCCCGCTGTGGTCCAGCAAGGTCAGGCCACAGGGCACACAGTAACAGGCCTCAGGCCGGGCACGCTGGACCTGCTCAAGGTGTTACGAGAACATACCAGGGCAACTAGAGCTGGCACCAGCTGTCTCTGACACTTAAACATGGGACCATAGTAAGGACCTCGACAATATAAGCACAGGAGGAAAATAAGAATCCTTGGGGCTATAAGCAACTCACTGATGGTCAAATGCTTGTCAATGAAGAAACAGAATCAACCTTGAAAAACCTTTGCAAAAATGCTGCTTTGAGCTTACTGAAGAAAGAAATAAATTCAGCAGCTAAGCAAGAAAACCAGGTGCACAACAAGATGCCTGGCACAGCCTAAGAAAACAATACCTATGGAGTATGTACTCCAGAGCAAAGCCAAAGCCAAAATATTGTCCAAAATCTCAAACATCTTATGAAAGGATTATCTCGAATATGAAGGTGCGCTGGTTTTGGCTGGGGTAGAGCTAACTTTCTTCACAGTGGATAGTATAGGTCTGTGTTTTGGATTTGTGCTGAACACAGGGGTAATAATAGATGTTTCTGATATTGCTGACCAGGGCTTGCACAGAGCCAAGGCCTCTTCTGCCCCTTGTATGGCCACACTGGAAAGAGGGCTGGGGGTACATGAGAGGCTGGGAAGAGACCCACCCAGGACAGGTGACTCAAACTTACCAGAGGGATATTTCATATGCCATACACCTTCAGTATAGAAAAGTGGGAGGAAGAAGGTGGAAGGGGGAGACGTTTGGAGTGATGGTGTTTGTCTTCCCAAGTCACCACTGCATGGCCCTGCCCTCCCAGAGGTGGATGAACACCTGCCTGCCCATGGGAAGCAGCACAGAATTCTTTGTTTTTCTTTGCTTGTGTGCATGGTTTTTGCTTTCCATATTAAGACTGTCTTTATCTCAACCCATGAGTTTTCTAGCTTTTACCATTCCAATTGCCTCCCCAATCCTGATGGTGGGGGAGTGAGTGAGTGGCTGCAAGATGCTTGGTTGCCAGCTGGGGTGAAACCACGTCAGAAAGGGTATGTGTGTACGTTTTGCTACTGTCACAGGAAACTATCAACAGTTCATCTGGGATCCAGGGATCTGGAGGATCATCAGGGAGGCCCCTGCTCACCCTGCTTGCTCCAACAACCGTGGTTTTCCAGGGTCTCCCTTAATTTACTCTGAGGTCCCTGTCACTCCAGCTGCCGGCTCAGAGCCTGGCTCACCCTCTCCCTACCTCCTGTTCCAGAAGCGTAGCTCTTCAGTAAGCTTTTCCTACAAAGCAATTGTTCATGACTATATACAACAATACTAGGGGAAGGATTGTCCAAGTGTGGTGCTCACCATCCTCTCCTACTCCAAATCCTGCACATTTCTTCTCTTAAACACTACAAGTACTCAATAAATCATTATAGTATATCTCAATAAATCATTATAGTATATAAGCTCAATTTTGGCCAGTTATTCTGTACAATATTTTTAATCCATCATACAATCCAATGAATTGCAGCTGATCCATCCAGAGCAATGATTGCTGCAATGCTCATCATAAAGGTACTGAATTTCATTCACATTTCCCTTTTGAAATCAGTTTTTATTTGGGACAGCAGTATTATTTATTTATGTTACATTTCTTATTTTAAAATGTTTATGTTATTATTTTTTTCCTTAGCTATATTACACCTAGTCTTTTGCATCGATACCATTTGAGGATGAAAACATTATCTAAAATGAAGCAGAAGCAACCTTAGCTGGCATCCAGAAGCCACAGTGTACTTACCAATGTCATGAATTGGCTGCTTTACTCCTATTTCATTATTTACAGTCATTACAGAAACCAAACTTGTATCAGGCTGGAATGCAGCCTCCAGCTCCTGATGAAAGATTCAGAAGGACAAGAGTTGTGACTAACAGAGAAGGAGGATTCCTGTGTACATCTTCAATTTACCAGCAACTCAACCACCAGTCCCTTATTTGCAACAAACACCTGGGGTTCTGACAAACAGCCCTGGGGAAAACACTAACCCACATGAATATTAAATGCCTGTAGGAAGAGGAGCGAATCAATTGTGTTTCTGCAGGTCCTAACCCTTCAATGCACCTGGCACCCCAATTGATTAAATCAAATCTCAACAGGCTTTGCTATAGCCCGTAAATGTCTCTGAACTATTTTCTTTACTGAATTAACCACCGACAGTACAACTAAAGCCTCTTCTGGCCAAGGTGAGGCAGGCTGTAAAGGCACTGCTCTTTATACCAAGTCACATCACACCTGCAGCAACATGCTCAGAAAACACAACTCATTACTGTGCCACAGGCTGACCCTCAGTCCCATCACACACACTACTGCTCTCCATGGCAGGTGAGGGACTGGGAATAAAGCTGTTGCTGCCCTGTGCTACAGGACGGCAACGATGAACTGAAAACATAAAACTTCTAAGTTTTAGGGCTGCAGCCAGTACATACAGAAGGGCTGGCTCATGGACAGCCATAGGAAGTACTGTAATCACTGAAACAATGCCTCAAATACTGGGCTCCTTAGAGGGTACTCAACAGCTCCACCTGCACAGCAGCAGCTGAACGGTGGGACAGGAGGTGGATGTTCTGGTTGAGAAAAAGTGTAGGATGTTAGACAGAATAGAAAATCCTTCTCCAGATCTGACAGATTTGACTGTGATTCTCATTCTACTTGTGATATTTATTATCCTTTCCTCTTTTTCATCTAGAGGACACAAGCTTTTGAGCATCAATTTGAAGCAAAAACCTCTTCTTTTTTTAGTTTCTTTCTCTCAGTAACAACTTACCTTCAGGTCTATGAGCCCATTTTTTTTAACAGGTAGATATGTGATGTGAAAACCTTCTGTTTCCAGGGAACGACAAGAATCCAACACACACTTGTGCTCTGTTTGCGTAGTAATGATATGCTTTTTTCTGGCTTTATAGAACCTTGCAACACCCTGTCAGGCACAGTCCATGAAAAAGAAATTGGCCATTGAAGAAAGCAGGCATTACACAGTGTGATTGGAAATAAGAAATTACTACTTAGATATAGTTAATTTGGATCTTTCCTGTTTGACCCAAGTCGTGAAGGTGTTAAAAGGTACTGACACATAATCCACACTACCTATCTCCATCAGCACCTGCTTTTCAAAGCATCTTACTTCTCAAAAACTCTGTGAAAATGTTTATTGCTGTTAAGGTGTAGAAGCCATTAACCAAAGCATTTTTTTGAAAACTTGCACTGGAGTGATAAACACTGAGAAGTTTAGTCTTCATCAGAAAAAAAGTTTCTAATCCACATGTCCACTATATTTTACAATGAATATTTTAATTACATAAGCAGAAGGAGTGTATTTAGTGCATGTGAGATAAACATCAAATATTTTACACCGCCCTCCAAATCATGTCATGGGCACCAAAACACTCATCCATGTATTTCCTCCACACATGTAACAGAGTATCACAAAAAGTAACTCCAGAAATGCAAATATGTTATACTCCAACATATTAACATTTAAATTGTTGAGAGATGCATACAGTTCTTAAATACAAAATTTTAACATAATAAATAAGAATCAGTATAAACTTTTTACCTTAATTGCCATATTATTGGATTCTGTTGCACCACTGGTAAATATAATTTCCCGCGAATCAGCTCCTATTAAATTTGCAACTTGCTGTTTAAAAAGAAATACATATTTGACTTGTTAAGAAAACATACAATAAATTCATTACAGCAAAATACATGTGAATGTTTTCAAGAATACTCCCTTGAGCTTCAAAGGTTTACAGCTGGTACCTAACAAAGTTATGCTAAAAATAATCTAACTATCTGAATTATAAAATACACAAGGAATCCACAGTCATTAGAAGCAGTATTAAGCATTAACCTGTTATAACAGAGATAAAAGCTTAAGGAGACAAAAATCCATTACATATTACTTCAAAAAAAATTACAAACATCCTTGCCTAAGATCAGAAGAATGACAAGATATGGAGTTAGTCCAATGCCTGCAGCAATATGCTTGTGACTCCAGGAAACCAATAATACTGCAGCACTTTTACTTAAAGTATTGTTTCCTGCCATTTCAGTTGCTCTAATCTCACTGTTGGAACAAGTGCCGGCTTCTGCACTGGGACTGGAGAACCCTGGGAGTCCAGACAGACTGGGGAACAAGAGGCTGGAGAGCAGCACCACAGAAAGAGACCTGCAAGTTTGAGCTGAGGGCAAGTGGAACAGGAGGCAGCAGTGCCCTGGCAGCCCCAAGGACCAGCCTGTCCTGGGGGACATCAGGCCCAGCATTGCCAACCGAGCAAGGGGGTGACTGTCCTGCTCTGCTCTGCTCTGCACTGAGGGGGCCTCACCTCGAGTCCTGGGGGCAGTTTGGGGTAAATCTATATAAGGATATGAAATTATCAGAGAACATCCAGGGGAGGGCCATGAAATGGTTAAGGGCCTAGAGGAGAGTCTGTAAAACAAACAGCCGAGGTCACTTGGTTCTCTCAGTCTGAAAGAGAGGAAACTAAGGTCAGACCTCACTGGGGGCTGCAGCTTCTTCATGAGGGGCATCAGAGAGGCAGCTATCTGCTCTCGGTGACCAATGACAGGGCTTGAGAAAACAGAGCTGTGTTGAGGAAGTGTAGGCTGGATATTAGGAAAAAAGTTTTTTACCCAGAGGGTGGTCAGGCACTGGAACAGGCTCCCCAAGGAAGTGGTTACAGCCTTAAGCCTGCCATAGTTCAAGGAGTGTTTGGACAATGCTCTCAGGTATATGGTGGGACTGTTGGGGTATCCTGTGCAGGGCCAGGGTTGGACTTGATGACCCTTGTTGATCTCTTCCAACTTGAAGTATTCCATGAGTCTATCTTTTCGTGCAATAAATCGACTAAAGTACAGCTAAGCAAAGAGAAAGCTGCTAAATCTAGCCCACAGATAACAGGGTTTTTTTCTTCCTTTTTTCGTTAGGTTCTTTTGACCCTGATTTTCCTCAGCAGCAGGAAAACCAACACGACCATGGAGAGTCCAAGACTCACCCGCCTCGCTTTCTCCATGGCAGCCTCGCTCTCCCAGCCGTAGGCGTGGGTCCTGGAGTGGGGGTTGCCATAGTAGGCTGTCAGGTATGGGAGCATGCTGTCCAGGACTCTGGGATCCTGTGGAACACAAACAACCCAGCCTTAGAAAAGGAGAAGGGAAACCATACCACTTCTCTCTGGAGATGCCCCCTTGCCACAGTATCAGCAGCACTTCTGTGGCAGTGTCTTGCTTTAGCTTAGGCGTGACCTTGAAAACTTGAAGCCATTACATGTTACGTGTAACACAAGTATTTGGCAGTTATGTTCTGTGCATGTAACCCTGATCTGCGCTGAAGGTCAAAGAAGAACAACATCATTTGAGAAAACAGAATCACAGATCAGCTTGGGTTGGAAAATATTTTAAAGCGTATCTTGCTCCACGCCCCTGCCATGGATAGGGACACACCTTCCAGTAGGTCAGGTCGCTCCAAGCCCCATCTAACCTGCCCTTTCTTCTGAGCAGAAAAAAATGCAAGGTCTTAAAATGTTAAGAAAAACGTCAGATCAGTATTTTGGCTGAATTCACTTCGTGCTTCTCTCAACTGTCTCCATTCCCGCAGGGGTCGGTGCGAGCCCCTTCGCGGCTCCGCCACGCTCCTGCCCTGCGGCACTGGGGGTGCCCATCCAGGGGGCTGCCCCGGCACAGCTACAGCCCTTCGCCCTGTGGCGACAGGGACAGCCTGTGTCGCTACAGGCGGCGCCGAACGCCGCCTCTGTCACCCACGGCAGCTCGGGACACGCGCGACCGCTCGGGCGAGAGAGCTGGGAGTGTGGGGACCACGCTCCGCTTCCCGTGCTCGGTACGGCCCTTACCAGCGGGGTGGTGGCCTGGACATCCATGTAAAGCGGCCGAGAAGCACCGCTGCCATCGCTGGTTTGCCCTAAGGGGAGAAGAGAGGGAAAACTGCTGTCAGGGGCCGGCAGGAGCGGGGCAGCTGTCCCTTCCCGGACAAGGGCTCTGCCCGACCGCGGCCTTACCCGGTCCCGGTCCCGGTCCCGGTCCCGCTCCTGGTCCTGGTCCTGGCCCTGGTCCCGGTCCCGGTCGCGATCCAGATCCAGATCCAGGTCCCGATCCCGGTCCCCCGCCTCGGAGCCGCCGCGGGGCTCGCTCGCCCCTCAGGGCCGCCAAGCGCCGCCACAGCAGCATAGCGCCCGACGCACGGAGCGCGGCCGTACCCGCCTCTTCCGGTACGTCACGGCGCGCGCCGGAAGCGGGGCCCAGACAGGCGGAGGCGCGGTGCGGCCTAGCGAGGTACGGGCGGGGCGGGGGCCCGGGAACGGGGGGAGCCGGGGTGCTCGTAAGGTGAAGCGCGCGCTGAGGACCCCGGTTCGCCTCCGAGAGCTCTTGCGCCTCACAACGGCGATGGCCGCGGTTCCCGGGGAGTCCTCGGCCTGGCCTCGGTCTCCGTAAGGGCGGGTTCGCTGCCCGCTCCTCTGCCTCCGAAGCCAGCGGCAGCCGGGAAGGTCGGGCCAGCAGCGGAGGCTCGGTCAGGTGCCGCGTGTGCTGCTCACTAGGCACTGGGAGCACACAGGGTGAGGCCTCGGCAGCCACGGCGGCGCCCGCAGGAGATTGTTGAGGGGAAACGGGGTCGTCGTTCTCTCCTTGTTCTTCCTACCTGACAGGCAAAGAAACAAGCCTGGGAGCCAGCACAACCTCCAGCGCTGCACACGCGAGAAGCTCTGAGTTGCACGGCCTGGCCTGCCAGCCGAGTTTGGTTATAGAAGTATGTTAGACAAAGCAGTAAATCGATGTGTGTATTGTTGCTTTCTTTTTTAGATGCCTGTGACCGTGGGCCCATATGGGCAGTCGCAGCCCAGCTGCTTTGACAGAATAAAGATGGGTTTCATGATGGGCTTTGCAGTGGGCATGGCTGCAGGAGCGCTGTTCGGCACATTTTCCTGCCTCAGGTACGCCAAGGAAATGGCTTCCACAGACAAGTGGTGACAGGGAGATAGCCAGAGAGAAATGGTCATGCTGTGGGGTTGGGAAGGGATTGGGTCTGGTCCCATGAGTGGAACTTTGTGACTCCCAGCTACTGCAGTAAGCCCCTGGCCTACAACATGTGAGTCTGGTGCTGGTAGGGCATCACCTCTGCATGCCCTGCATGCCAGGAGGTCACAGTGTCACAGACCTTTTCTTGCCTCTTGTAAGGGAGGTTCATTGGGAAGCCCAGGCTGTGGAGGATCACCTCCAGGAGGAACCAGATGAATTGTCTATGCAGATACATGTGCAGCCCTCTCCTGGCCCTAAATCTTCCTGAGGTGCTCTGTAAGCTCTCAGTGTCTGCATCGTGGTCCCTTTGTGTGTCCCGTGCCCTGCACAGAGGCAGTTACCAAACTGCCCCTGAGTCTGAATGGCAGGAGTGTGGGTAGACCCATGGCTGGCATTGGCACAGCCCCACTGTGCAATGGAGAGGAACAATATTCCACCTTCCCCTGGGACTCAGCATGCTGACATGAAAACGAGCTGTGTTTGTTGTTCTGTGTTTGCTCTGGTACTGTTGACTGGCTTTGCACGTCATCTCTGACAAAGAATCACTGAAGTCTGCTCTTTCATGCTTTGCAGAACTCTTTCTGTGTGATGGGTTTTACCTGTGATTAAACATGGGAGATGATTTTGTAGTGAGGTGAAGGAGGAAAAGGCTCAAATCTTAATCCAATGGGAGTTTGAAGTTTTCTGATCTCTCTCAATTCCCAGAGGGTAAGCAGCATGATGCTGGCAGAAGATATATATTAAGGGCCTTTAGAAGAACCAGTGAGAGTGGTTCTGTTATACTTGAATGACACAGCTACAGTACTGCTGTTCCATTTTTGAGGGAAAATCTCATGTTTTAAGAAGCAAGTGCGTGAAATTCCTTAGACCCTAAAGTCACTGTAGTGTTTAAAAGCCAATATTACAAGAGCTTCTTGAGACAGAACAATTCCTTTTGTTTTACTCTGACCTCAGGTAATTGAAAAATGGAGAACAGAAATACCTTTTGAAGTTTCTAGGACTTTCAGGTATCCCATATTAAAAACACAGAGTCAGTAGTAAATAGAAAGTTAATTTTAAATTGGTGATATTAAAAAGACTGCCACTGCAGCTAGAGAGGATGGCAGTACAACAGCTCAGACAACTCTTTTTGTACTCTGGCAAGTGAAATACTTGGACAGCATTTTTTTTCCCTCTATTAAGGGTATTTGGGAGACCAGGATGCAAAGCTGTTCCTGCTAAAGGTGTGTGGCAGGAAGGTTCCACTGCAGGAAAAAATACACATGGGCCATGTGAGGTGAGAGCCGCCCAAGAGCCCTTGCAGTAGCACAGGGCACTGCAGCCAGTCTCTGGAGAGGCAGCTGTACAATTGCACACATTTAGACTGGAGAAGTGTTCAGTTTGCAACCATGAGCTGATTGTCTCAGATGTTTTCTGCTGCATGTCTGTGATCTGTCAAGTTTCAGCTTTTATATAATCCCTGTGGTTTTCTTTATCTCAGGATTGGCATGAGAGGACGAGAGCTGATGGGTGGAGTTGGCAAAACGATGATGCAAAGCGGTGGGACGTTTGGGACATTCATGGCCATTGGTATGGGAATACGCTGCTAATCTGGAGTTTGAGATTTATCCCAGAGTGCCCCCGCCCAGCCATTCCTCTGCTGTACAATAATAAAATCTTTAGATACCTGGAAGTGAGAGCTCTTAATGAAACACCAGAGTCCTACCCTCTGTGCTCTGCTGATTGCAAGCATGTGTTTTACAAAATTTCTACTTTCTTCCCATCTCTTTCTCCCAAAACAATGAGAATAATCATTTTTATTACACTGAAGTTCCTGGTTTACAGATACAAGTACACCACACAAGTTTCTCCCTTTGGCACTTGGGCAGCTCACGTTGCCGATGTGGATGTGGAGCTGCTTTGTTCTGTCTTGCATTCCCGAGTCTAGGAAAGTTAGATGGTGGGTACTTCAGATGAATTATCAAATTTCTGTCCTCTTGCAAAAATAGGTGTGTTGAAGCTGGTCCCATTTCTGAGTTTCAGGTGTCATGGGGCAGATGCCCTCAGGGACCCCAGGATTCAGGCAGCTCCCACAAGAGCTGTTCTCCCAGAAACAAAGCCTTTTCTTTCATTCTGGTTTAACAGGCCTACAATGTAGTCAGGACTTCCCCGGGAGAGCAGAGGAATCTCTCCTGCTTCTCCCCAGCTCCAGAAGCACTGCCTACAGTTGACCTAGGAAAGGTATTGGGTGTCACAGTCTTCCATTACTTGCCTTTTGAAATAAGGCCTCTTTCTGCTCCTCCTTTAGTCCTATGTAAGGAAGACGTGAGCAACAGCACTACCTCAACTGGCACCTGTACAGCCTGGACCTGTTACAAATGCCTTTTCCCCAGTTTTTAAGGCAGAAACACAAATTCACCACTCAAAGCCTCTTCTCAGATAAAGCACACCTAGAGAGCCAGCTCTACTTCTTTAGCTATGTTAGTATTCCCAGATCCTGCTGTATTCCCAGCCCCTCTCCACCTTTGCCTTTCACTTGCTTCAGTTCTTTGATTAAGGACATGCCCTTGCCACAGCAGCTCAAGGACAGCTACAGCCCCAGAGGCTGCAGAGCAGATCCTCTCCTCAAAATACTATGGAACACCAGCAGCACTGCTGCCTGCCCCACCCTTACCCACTCCCAAGGAATGTTCTGTCCTCCCTACTCTCTCCACCTTGGTCTTTTCTTAGTGGCTAAGAAGGCCAGGGAGATGGGACAGGGGTAAAACGGGCAAAGCACGGGGGCAGGTTCCCTCTAGAAACAAGACTGAAAGCAAACGTAACTTGACTCCTCCAGCCCCAGGACTCAACCATTTGTGAGGGATGGGAGTGGAGATGGGCAGGATGGGTTTGTCTCTGAACTTTAAGCATGCCTGAGGAGGGTAAGACTTGTGCCCAGATCCTCAGCAACCATGGCCACACTGTACAGAGGGCTGGGAACAGCTTCTGCATGTACTCTCTGAGCACATGATATCCCATAGCATACCTGCATACTGTGCAGTCGTATCCCAGACACTGGGCACTGCACAGCATTCATCACTCGCCTCCAGGCCTAAGCACACACTGCCTAAAGTCACATTGGGAGAGCAGAGAAATAACACTTCATGAAGGCCTTTTTAAGAGAATTTTATTTGAGTGGTTCTTACAAAGATTGTTGCAATATGAAAGTCTTTGATAGAAATATCAAGCTGTCTTGTCAAACACACTGAAGTAACCCAAAAATATATTTCAGAGCTCACAGAGCTTAAAAAGAGCAAAGATTATATGCAACCAGAACAAAACACTTTTCTGTATTTCCTACCCATTTTCAGACTTGGCTGAAATCCTCCAGCTCTGCCCTACTGTGCATGTGGTAACTCATCTGGAAATGCAGAGATGTTTTGTTTGGAAACTTAGACACACCTCACAGTATTTACAAAGAAACTTTTACAGATACAATAATCAAAAGTTACCATCAAGAAATAAAACCCTTCAATCCTCCTACTCTTACCAATTATTCACCACAAAACAAGCTGAGTAGCTGTCTGCAGTCAGCATTCAGTAGCTTTTTGGATTTTCCATTTATACAAAAACACTAAATATGTCCCTTCATCCAGTCTCTCTCTGATACTACCCTTGAGCAGATCACCCACATTTAGTGAAATGTAAAATGTCTTTGCTGCATTAAAAGAAAGGCTCATGAAACATTAAAAATGTCATTATGTCCCATCTGCCTTTTACAGAGTACTTGTTATCTATGAGCTACTTCTCAGTTCCTACGGATCATCTTTGTCAATGTACAAGAATTACAAGGCAGAACAAGAAGTCAACAGCTTTGTATACAGTGGAAATGCTAGTTAGGGAGAATGAACACACTGCATTTCTGCTTACTTCATTTTATTTTTAAAGATAGCAGGAAGTGTACACAAAATGACATTAAATCCTTTCCTTTAGTTTTATCTAAATAAAAGATAACTCAATCTTCCTCCAAAAAATACCTATGTACAAAACTGACTAAAGTGATCTTCATCGTCGAACAGGAACCAGTAGTTGGGTTGCAGTCATAGAGTCTGGGAAAAGGCTGTGGTATGTTGGAAGAGGTACATATGCTGCTGTAATCATTTTACCTAATCACAAGAGGAAAAAAAGTAAACATCAGTGTTTGGTCATTTCTGTAATGGATGACTAAATGTAGGCGTGGACATGGAACACTCACCTGCAAACCACCTCCCATGCAAAGCATTGACAGCTGCGATGGCAGCAGCGATGGAGGGACATTTCACATACACATTGCCCTGCAAAACAGAATAGTGTGGCCCGTGAGGAGTCAAAGACACTTCCCCCACGCTGTTCCTCAGCCATCCCTAGACCTGGCTGTGACAAGAGCCATACCACCTCCACCAGGCACCAGCTGGGCATTAATCCGTAACACAGAATGAGCACAAGAGAAGACGACAGTGGTAGTGGCAGGCACTACTCCACTGTGGCAGTTACTGCAGCCTTCAATTTTTCTAAATAGGATTTTGCAAGATAGCCCAAACATGCATTTGATCAGCAATCACTGAGCCACAGATGGCTGATCTGCTCCTGACAGCCTTTTAGAGAGGATCTAAAGGCTCCTAATCATTAACACCATGTGAAAGAGAACAGCACAAGGGGTCTGGTTGTCCCCAAGGCAAGCTCACAGCCTGTATTCCACAAGAACCAAGCACTCCCCATTCCCCCAGATGGGAAGCAGCACTTTAAGATACCGTAAAAATTCTCCTATATACACATCAGCATGTCTGTCTTTATTTGAACAAGAACTGAGGCACAGGGAAAATCCCAACCCCGCAGGGCAGGAAGAGCCTGAGATGGTTCCCAAGGTGCATGACAGACTGATCTTTGAACTTCACCAGAGACACCTGGAGTTTGCCGTCTGCAGATCAAGCACTGCGCCTCCCTAATCCAGAGAACCACAACAGTCACATCCAACAACTCCAAGACACAGAGATGCCCACAGTGGCGTGTGGCATTTTTCTGGCTGCCGGCTTAAAAACAGACCACCAGTAATACCCAAGAAAATCAATTCTAGCTGAAACAGATTTTTCAGGAAAATAGTACATTAAAAAATAGACTCCAGCCTTTCCTTAGCAGCTTTAGTCAGCTGGTATTAACTCTTCCCACTGCACTCTAACTCATTCCTTTCTCATGGGGCAAACCTAAGCTTAGGGGCTGGTGTTTAAGGCACTTAGCAATCAATTAACATAGAGAGCTCTGCTCTCAGTCTCCCCCTGCAAAGGCACCTAAACTGCTTAAATGCCCAAATGAGGTGCGGAAACACAAAGCTGTGGTTTTCCTTAACACCCAGCAGCACAGATAGATGCGGTACATGAGCCACGCACTCAGCTGGGACTGCAACTGTTTAATCCACAACAAATCACACCGTCATAAGCCAACACCTGACAGCCCTCAGCATGGAAGTCTCAGACAAAGCCCTCAAGGTGCCCAGAATCTAAGCCCGGAAAACAGAATGGTACAATGGAAACTCTATCAGTGGGTATTTTATATCTGGGAAAACTCTATCAGTGGGTATTTTATATCTGTGTCACTGCTGTGCTACTATGACAAAACAGATTTCATTTTTTGTGAAACATTAACTCATTACTTAGTATGTAGAAGTTTCTTCTTTTAAATCCCCCTGCTAATGTGAAAGAGAATTTTGCAGCTCCATGGGCTTAGAACCTAGGCAAGGTATCTTGAGGGCTGGTGTAGTTTTAGGGGTGGTGGTTTTTTTGGGGGGTCGTGCAGTGATTTTTTTGTGTTTAGTTGCTGGGAGGGTTTTTTGGAGGTGGGAAGTGTTCTGGGTTGTTGGTTGTTTTGGACTTTTTTTCTGTCAAAGAACACTTTGTTTTCTGTAAATAACAAACACATTATGGGGAAGGTTTCTGCCTCTCATCAGTCCAACGGTCCAAGACCACAGGTGTGATCTTGAAAATTACAAGATGCTAGGTAAGGTAGCACATTGTTTTATGTGCTGGACTGCAGCTCCTATCTAACCTCTCTGTAACCCACAAGAAAGGGTTTCAGGTGATACTGGGGCAGCTGCACAAGACAGCAATGGTTGAGTGCTAAGTAGATCACCAGGGCAGAATAATCCCACCCAAGCACACCAACAGGAACACGGGTTTCAGCCTTATACCTTAGCATGGAACACAAGATGACACTTTTAGGGTCTGATAGATAGAAATTAACCCAACTGTGAAATCATCTGCAAACTGAACTTTTGTTTGGGCTGTGAATTCTTTTTAATAAAAGAGTTCAAGAGAGTTAAGCTAGCTATAGACCTTCCAGAGTTTATACAGTCTAAGACCTGAAATACAGAGAAGAGGTAACCAGTCTGGGATTTATGTGAACAAGGTGTGGTCAGAAGAAATATATATTCACCAGTTTAAGATGCAAGCATTAATCTGGAATTCAGTCAGCAGAGAGGAATTCAGTCTCTCAGACTGCCCATTGCAAGGCTTTAATGTCACGAGTGACCACAACTGTTTCTAAGCATGGGTTTAGGCACATATTTACCTTACACTGCAATTATGTTGGAGCAAGGGCCATTTCTGCTGAAGCCTGTGCTCTAGAAAGAGGAAATTGAAGTCCCTGACTTGGGGGGAAGGCACAGCTTAAGGGAAATGCCAAATGCCTGAACTGGTCACTGCTCTTCTACAGCAACTTCAGCTGGGTAAACCTGCAAGAGCAGCACCAGAAAGCTGCTTATCCAAGTTACACACAATGATTCACAATAGGAGGGAACCACCTATATTCTGCACAAACTAAGACATTTAGGTACAGTTTAGGAAAAGTGTCACCCTGATTTTTTAAGATTTTCTAAGCGTTCTGATGTTTACATTCTTGTAACAAATTTTCTCACACACTTTCTGTAAATAACGTATTGTTTTGCATTCTTTTATGGAGGAGGAAAAATTTAATAGACTGTTGGTTTGTCCAGTGTCATTGGAGAGGTGGCACTTTCACCTTCCAATCCACTGTCACTTCTGGAAATCTATAAATGTTGGAGTTGGAAAATAAACTATCCCTTTTTTACCTTGAGAACAATGCGTTCGCATCATGTTTTTCGTGTCTTAGAGTGACAGAAAAGCCCCATAGCTGTAATGCTCCCCCTAGACAAAAGAGCTCCTAACATCTGCTCAGTGTGTCCCCCCCCCGGAAGCAGGCATACCTGAGCTGAGTTTTTGTCAACATAGATGTGGATAACTCCTCCATGTTTGTTACATTCCTCAATCACATCATCTTTAATTTCTGTGTCCCAGCCAGCTTCTTCTTCACTGTACAGGGAAAGGAAAAACAGAACAGAGATATCATTCACACAAAATCCACCCCCAAAACCCATTAAACACACTCCTGCAACATTCTGATTTCTTTCTTACATGTTAGTCATTGACAAATGCCGAACAGACAATAATAGATCACTTACGTTTGAGGATTAAACATGTTGGAAAGCTGAAAGCACTGTGTTGCAAGTGGTTGTACAGAAGCAGCTGCAGCCAGAACTGTTGTAATGGAAAAAAAAAACCCATTAGCATATCTGAGAACCCGCTATGCATGGCTCTAATTTATTCAGCATAACAGAAACAGCTCTGACTAAAGAGAAAGTGAAGGCAGGAAAGCAAAACTCAGAACCAGACACTACTGATGATAAGATATATTTAAACCAATCAATACAAAAACCAGCACACTATGAACCACAGTTGAACCTGAAAAGTGAAAATATAATCATGTACATTGATTTTGGCAATTTTCCATTTGAACATTATTAAAAGGCATGCATCTTCACTTGCATCTAAAATATCTGCCTGAGTTTTATGTCAGCAGCACCTTTTATGTTTTGCTCCTCATACAAGCCCAACAGCAGCTCAGGACAGCATCAGCCCAGCTGACTGGACAGCAAAGGACAGACAAACCTGGGGAATTATTAAAACCTGTTTTAAGCACCTGTTTCAGAGGTGTACCTGCACTTTCATCCCTTGAAAAGGCTGATTGAAGGAAACATTTGACACATGAAATTGCTCTTTCCCTATAACTGTGAAATTTTTATTACTTGTCATTTATTGCTGCTCATCATGCCAATAACACTGTGTTAAACACTGCCCTACAGGCTGCCCCTTCCATAGGCTTCAGGCTTCTGTCAATGGAGCTGCAATAACAGCTCCCTTCCCCTTATACTTCAGACATTAACGGTTGTGCAGTCAGATAAGGAGCAACTCAGAGACAGTAAACCCAAACTTCTGATCATCAAATAACCCCTCTAAGGCAGGGAGAACACTCCTACCCAACTACAAATACCAGCCCACGCATTTTCTTGGACTAGTACCTGGCTGGGGAATGCTACCAACACTGGAGAAAATGCTACCACGAATTTTCAGTCAAAAAAAATCAACCACAGACAACTAGACAATTAAGAGAACACAATTTCTCAGGTATGGGCAAACCCTATACCAGAAGAATTTCCCCTGGAGACACCTGACATAAAATCTACTAATTACAAGTCATATCAAATGCTACTTTACCTTCATTCTGCTGGGACAGTCTCGTTTGTAAATCTAAAGAAAAACACAGAGAAGTTAATTAGTATACTTGCTAGCATCACTCTATCATCAGCTGCCAACCAGGTTGTTCAGCTTGTATTTCTGTGGTTAAGAGCTTATTCCAGTATCACTGTTCCTCTCTAGTTGTGAGTAGTTTCACTAATTTCAGCTTCTCTACTAGAATGTTCTGTACTTGATAGATTCTGTGACAACAAAGCATTTTAAAGAGAAACAATACCTTAAAAGGACAGACATGACCATGTACCTTTAATTCAATGTATCACCGCCAACTTGCTTTTGCTGTGATTGAAGTCTTTACAAGACATGTTTTATCCCATGAGAAAATAATTACAGCAATTCTGACAGGCATTAGAGGTGCATGTCAACACCAACATCTTTACTACCAGAAAGAAGTTAAGCACACAGCTATCCAAACCTGACATTCTTAAAGCAGTTATCAAATTTCATTTCAAGTAGAATAAGGCAATATTTTATCTGCTATGCTTTCATATAGATGGCATAATGACACAGGTAACTTTGGCATTTTTCAATTTCTAAACCTTTTCCAGTGCTCAGAACATGTAATTTGCCTAGAAAACATTATTTAGTTGTTTAACAACATACACTTGTCCCAATTCAAAGTGATGGGAACAAACAAATGCCGACTTTCTAGCCATTTCCAAGTACATGACATCTTTGAACTAAGAGAGACTTCAGAATTCAAGAACTGTAAGTATAAGCTCTTTCAATCATGGTTCCATTTAACAGACACTAGATGTGAGAAGACTGAAGCAAACAATCGCCTTAATTCACTCATTTAGAGAGTAGCAAAGTGATGAGCACCAAGTAAGCTTCCAAGCTTACCTGGAAATACCTGAAGGCACCAGGTATCAACAACTTTTCCCCTTTCTAATAAAACCTCCTCCACAACACTGAAGAACCAAGAGAAACAAATGTTTTCCTCTAGATTTTCCTCATGTGCCTTTCCAAGTGTTTTGCAAAGAACATGTACCAGGAACCATATTGAAAAGCAAGGGCTGGAAGGAGTAAGCTCTGAAGGCTGAGCTGTAAAAAGAGCTGGCCATGTTTGGCATGTTTTCCATCCAGATCTGAACGCACAAAGTCCTCATCTCCATAGAATGAGAAATATCACAATAGCAAAGGCTGCCTTAGCCTGCATTCTTTGCAGAAACTCCATGGTCTTGGACAAATCTGTAACTAATTACCTACTTAATTAATACTCAGACTCCTTTGAAAGCAAAGGCATTTTAAAGAAATCAGCAAATATCCGAACTCCCAATTTAGATGAGGACAGACACTTTCCTTGCTGCAATTCCAATCCATCATGTCCAGCTGAACTTGTCTATGTGGGTCAGCCTGGGGCTCTACAGCCAAATGCTCCAGAATTCCTGAACCTAACATGGTAAACCTGCATGTATCATCAATGCAAATTGTGTCCACGGCCAAGTAAGATCTGTTCTAAACACAGCAAAGTCAGCTACCACTATCTTGTGCAACAGTATCACAGGTTAATTATCTACCACGTTTGAAACATAACCTGCTGCTCACCAAATCTTTTATCAACTAACTGGATTCTCTTGCTGCTAATGACTGAAGAACAGTCCTGTCCACTCAATTCTAAAATTACTCAGAATTACGAAATTGTCACTCTATACTGTCAATTCATGTTTCCCTACACATAGCTTTAAATAGTATGCAGAAACTAAAATTTATACATCTGACCAAATCAGATCAGTTAACTTTTCCAGTATGTTCTTACTAACACCTGTAAGAGCAGCGAGTTTAGCACTATGGGAGTACATGTTTAGTGTACAGAGAAAGCAGAAATACAGACGTATCTATCAAAGCATTTTGTGTCTTAAAGTAAAAAAAATTATTTTGAAATCCAGATGGCTTTAAATAGGCCAAAGCCTGCCAAGCATCGCACGGTGTCTTGAGTCATTACTTAGAACAGAGACCAAACAGAGGTCCATCCAGGATAACAGCTATCCCTTCCTCCTTTGCAGCACACCATGTCAATTTCTTCCATCAACAGATAGCTCTTTCCACAAGTAAGGAATGCTTTGTCCCAGAAAACATTGGAAGAATGTTCTATAGGCTGATTATTTTAAATTTCCTATGTTCAGAAAGAGAACAGGGAGTATACAGCGACAACTGTTCAGCTTTAAATTCTTTTTCCTGCTGGATGGCCAAATTCTCCAGGGTCCCCTAAACTAATTCTTTACCTTCCCTACTTTAGTTTGATTGACTCTCTCTCGAACACAGATTATCAGAAGGGTTTGTGGATGTATTACACCTCAGATGCTCAGACCTACCTGCCTCTAGGAACACAGCTAATATTTTAACAATGTATCATGCTGCCAGGTCATATTCTGGCACTGATAAACTGAAGCATTTAGATATTTTCCTCCTCCCTGGCAATTCTTCCATTGCTAAGCTCCCAGACTATGTGAGTGGAATTTGATTTAACCCTGACAAGGTGAACAATATACAACACCCAAGAATTTCTTGCGCCTACGCATTTATTCACCTCATTTCTACTGCTGACCACTTTCATTCATGTAAATATTACACAAGACCAGCCCAACACCCGAACTTTGGCTTTAACAACAGCTTCCAACTTTCTCCTGTAAAAAAAATCCTCCTTTTTCTGAGCCAGCTTCTTGACACACCTTGTTCTTCCTATATTACTCACTTCTCCAGTTTAATAACTTCCAAATGACAGGAATCTAAACATCAGCAAGAAGCTGCTCCTCCTTAGCCATGGAAGAAACACAATTTAACCAATGACTGTTGGTCCTTAAATACAGTTTCTGACAGTATGCTATGCTTTCATACTCCAGCTTACCCTTCTTTAGTATGACTTCTGAAGGAGCAAAGTCTACTCAGTAACGGGACCAGAATCTGGCCAGACCACATTCTTCTTCCTTCAAATGTACTTCAAGTGTAATTTAGAGTCACATGTTTCAGCTATATACCATATCATGGACTTAAAATGTTTATCAACAATACCAGAGGTGAGACCTCATGTTTCATACAGGTATTCCATCATTCATGTCATGGGAGTTTACATTAGCCTCTTACTTTTAACTTTCTTTCTACCTTGGGAGTAATTTTCTTTTTCATTTTTGAACTACATATTCCTAGCTTACCTTCCTCAAATTCTGAACTTTATGACCAGTATCCCCACTAGAAGTTGAGGCAACTAAATACATAGAAACATACTGGGAGTAGTTTTTCATTCACCTGAATGAATTTTTTTTTCTTTGAGACTTGATACTCTTTCATCTATTGCTTTCATAACTTTGTTAAAGTAATGTCTAACTCAATCTGACTGTTGTCAGACAATTATCTTTTTATCTGTTTCCCAAACTAAAAATACTGTTTTATTATCAGTCATTTTTCTTATTCTTCATAGGCTGTGTGGTTATTCCTTATTTCTTTTGAGGTAGCTGATCACTCAGGTTTACCGTGGAGCCCACACTAACAGAATTTTTTCTTCTTTCTGTAGAATACAGATCCAACACAGCATTAGCAACGTGAAACAGAAGAAACTTTTCACATCCTGCCTATTCAAACACCCAAGTTGCTCAGACCAGATTGCTCAATTGCCTTGTTTCTTCAACCATCAGTTAGACCTGTTTGTGTATCCTTCCATTTAAATGTGAGCAACTCATGATCCCTCAAGTCAATGGTCATTTCTATTCTCATCCATAACATCTTCATTACTTACCAAATTGAGTTTAAAATAGCATCCCCTCTTCATGAGTCAGTGAGTGTTTGATGAAGAAATTTGTCGGATATCACATCCAGGAATATCTGGGCCCCACCATTATTACTAGCAATTCTTCTCCAATCTGTATCGGGGAAGTTAAAGTCTCCCACAATGACATAATTCCTGGTAGTAATTTTCTCTAACAAGAGTAAAGAGATCTTTAATCCATAACCAAATCTCACTTTGGGGATAGCTCATGACTCTATGGCAGCAAAAAGGTTTATCTTTTTCCAAAGTCATTTAAGTTGCATATGTCTGTATTATTCCTTTTGTACAACACAAGTGGAATGAACAATGCTACCCCTACCACCTTTAGCAACTGTAGAAATAAACATGCATCTTCTAACACCTGTATTCAGCTTCATCATTTGTTTCTCCGCAGCCATGTTTTCTCATGCTGATTCCATACTACCTGAACCATTCAGCTGTGTCAGACATTTTTGGCCATGCTCTTTATTTAGTGAGCTTGGATTTTTTGGACCTTTTTCCAAATGAGGGGGAGGAAAAGGACTGGTGTTTTTTTAAAACACTATTCTGATTTCTAATTGCTGATATGTGTTTCTACATGAGACTGCCACACCACTTTATAACCTGCATACATGCTGATCTAACTTCACCAGTGGTTAGCTTTCCTTCTCTTTCTGGACTAGAAACACTTTTTCCTCGCTACTGTACACTTTTCATCCTTCTCAAACAGGCAACCAACATTTTTCTGTCACTGGCCACTTCCTTTTCCTTCCAAGGGCACATCTCTAGAACAAATCTATTATATTCTTTTAGCAACTGTCTACAGCTTCATACGTATGGTCTTCTTAAGACTGCACCGTACCTTCAGTAACATGATTCAGACCTATCTTATTAAGTCTGAATCATGTTCATCACAAGCTCTGCTGGAAGGCAAAAAACAATGCCACCTTTTCTTTGCTACTTTCCTGACACTTCCCACACATTCTAGCATCTGGTTATTTGTGACATTCAGGTCCTTTCTACTGTTATGACAGTTTCATATCCTTTGTTCATAGTATTAATCAAAAGTAGCAAAAAAAAAAAACCTTCAGGGAGGTTACTCCCTGCTCTGGTTCTGAAGACCCCATGAACAGTTTGTTTTTCAGACCAGCTATAAACTAAGCAGCAGCAGTCACATCATTCAGCCTCATTCCAGCATACCCACCTGCAGAACACACACAAAACTATAGCCAAATCCAAGGAACACACACATTCCCAGACATAAAATGTCTTTCCTCGCGAGGACATACGCTGTACAAACGCTGCTGCCATCTTTATGGTGTGTCCCCCATAAAGTCCTAGAAACCTTCCTGCCCCTTGTACAGCTCCGGTTTTTCTATTGGGGTCAATCGCCTTCCAATTCTGAGCCTGTCATTTTTAACAGTCAACACGTATACTGCAGTAGAACATACAAATCCCCACTTGCACAGAGAATAGTGAAGAGATGAAGGCTTGGGGTGAAAACCAGCAAATTTGGAAAAATATGCAAAGTGAATCACACCCATCCAAATTGTGATATACTGTCATTAGTTATTTTCTTATGGTTTTGCAGTGTTTTACAGTTTGGAAAACATGCTGCAATACCTCATTTTAAAAGACCAAAAAACATAGTTAAGTACCTCCTGCCTCAAATTTATAAAGTAATTTTTAAAAATATATATAGGTCATCATTTCTTACCTGTCACAGCTCCAAAGGCCAAAGATCCACTCATCTGCAGAGCCTGCTGTGCAGCTGGAGGAATCTGCAAACCAGTACCTGGAATAGAACACAGAGAGAACTTGGAGCAAGCCTTTTCATTCAGTTAGGGATGCAGTAACAGAAGTATCGGAAATCTTCCTGTTGGCAAAAGATAAAAAATACCATGCATTTGAACGTTTCATTCATTTATCCTAACAGTTCTGTGGAGCGTTTCAATTCAAATTCTGCAAACTTCTTCAACACTCGTTATCCAACACTGCACACACCTTCTGCAAGTCTTGCCATCAACTGAAGGCGACCAGTTGTTCCCAAATCAATTCCAGTCCGTTCCAACTCATCACTGTCCAAAAATGAGCTAGCACTGGAAGCATCAGTACGCTCAGTTACATGTCCAACTTTCATTGGCCTCCCAGCCAGCTCAAATCCATTGAGTTGTTCCAGGGCCTTTTTGGCACACTCAGAGTCTGAGAACTGTAGATCAGAAAAACGCAAATTCAGTAATACTTGTCTACAGGAGTCAGCAACACTTCTACTATATGTAATACCCACAATTACACAAATAGGAAAAACTCTTCAAGATAATAGCAACAAGCTAACATACATGTGCTCAGAATTTTTCATTTAAACCAAACACACACATATTTTGGTATTTACTTTCTCATAGTTAGGTACTATATCTTTAAATATATTGTTGAAGATATAGTATCTAGATACTGCAATCAATAGAAATCATGGCTGTGTCTCTCTTTCAAGAGTGACACTCAATTCCTTTGCAACCTTATAACTGCCATGGTATTCACAGGTTATTCCTAACAGATATTCTGCTTTATGCTGTGAAACAATCAAAATAAACACAAGCATTTTATCAGTGTTAAAACCATCAAGTATACAGTAAGTTTGGTTTTATTTGTGTCCACAGGCCAGGGGTCCCAGCCAAGACTTTTTTCCCCATGACAAACTGACAGGTCAGTTAAGAAACTCAAGTTCACACAACTGTATACCTGAAGGTAAAGAGTAAAGTTTTCAACTGAAAGTTTCAGCCCCTATTATTTCCCCTAAAAAGCTCAAATTCTATTATTTTCAGCTGTAAAAAACACCAGTCTTTACTAGTATCTTTGCCTGCAGAAGACAGCATTTGCTTTTGCAGGCACTGACTGACTACAGAGGAAACTATTTCCACCTAAACATTATCATTGCTCATTCTCAATACCCAGACAACTATCAGAAACAAAGAAAAAAGCCAGTGGTGCATCCTGCAACATGCCACTTGTGAAATGGGATATATAGTTATCAAGCAGCAATTTAGTACCTCCTATGCATATGTAAAAAATTTAGATTATGCTTAGTTTCTTATGTTTAGATTGCTGCTATATAACCACACAGATATACACAGGAAGGTTCATATATAGATATACTCCTACATGGGAAGGTTACACTCAGAAATCATCTTAGAAACCTGGCAATTCTAGTCATACCGTAATGAATCCATATCCTTTTGAGCGTCCAGTTTCACTGTCCATCATGAGCTGAATACTTTCAATCTAAAGATAAGAATAAAGCTATTTATTAACAGACATTTTGGAACAAATCCCAAGAACCAGAACACAACATAAAAACAGCCCTGTCAAATACACATACATGAGTGTGTGAAACTATTACTTTTTTTTAATTAGTCTCTCATTCCTTCCTCATTTCAAAATTAGTACACAGACAGCTGAACAGGTACCTGGATAATAAGAGAAGCAGGTAAACATAAGGGTTTTGAGCTCATCTACAGGTAGAGGCTTGATGCTGAATTCTAGCAGAATAAGCATGCAGACATGATCAGATCGCAACTGAAACACACTGATCATGGCACCTCATATGCTGAGAAACTCTTTTACAAACTAAGTAAAGCAGTATGCCTGATGAAGGTCTTTAAGAAAAAGATGTATATTTTAATAACTATTGGTACATGGGAACTCCTAGAAGTTTACAATTACTGAATTTAAAACACATCACTGAGTTATCCATTAGCCAAAAAGTAGCATTGGGAAGGACTGGAGTATACAGAAGAAGCAAAGATCTTACAGGTCTCCATATAAGCCTCCTAAACTACCTTAATCCAACTGCCAGACCTTGATGGAAGAAAAAACTCCCAAACCACCAGATGAGCAGCCATGTACATTTAATTTTCATCAACTGTAGCAATTTTCCAGGGGTTTGTGCAAGAGATTTAAAGGGATAGGCATACTGAGTCTGAATAAAGCATGTAAAAAGCATATAGTATATGTATATGAGGCAGAGTTTATACCCAAACACAGTAGGCAAAACGCTCAAACATTAACAGACTTCTTTTTACCCATTAAGAAGCATTTTGAATACCTAACTTTTCCCCTATGTAAATTCTATATACACCAGCATGGCTAACATACTCTAACTGCACAAGAAACTTCAGGTTTTATCTGCTCACTTCCATAATTCTCTCTACATAAACTTACTACCATGCTACCATCCTGCTGCTCAACGTTCAGGAGCGACTCAGAGCTGTCTGTACAGGACACAATGCTAGTTTATGGTCTTAAAATCAGCTAAAGCTGCAGCAGAAGTCATCAGAAACATGATAGATAGCACTATTCTCAGAGACCTCAGCCCCAGTTCTGATTTTTGTGCTTTAACCCGTGAAATGGGGCTTCCATTCACAATCCTGAAAGGGAAAGATACAAGTTGCCAGAGCAGGATACAACATTGAGAATTTTTCTGTTTTTTTTTTCCCCCTGCTCCTTAATTTCAGGTATTCATTGAATTCTGAACTTTCTAAGACCTGCTATTCTAATCCACTGCTCTCCAACACTACCCACATACCTAAGGCCTGTGGATGCATGGGCACAGCAGTGCAAGAAAGCCACAAGTGTTTTGTGAGTATGAAGCTGAATTATTTCCAGAAGCTGCCAGGGCTCTACAACTAAGCGAGGTTTTTCAAATAAACTACTCTAACACAACATGCCAAATTAAAGTTTACCCTGCCAAATGGCTCGAAGATTCCTCGAAGCATATCTTCAGTTATATTGAAGTGTAATGATCCCACATAGAGCCTCATAGGACCAGCACTGCCCTTCTGCAGATTATTTGCCATTGCTGCTGCTCTGTTTTTCTCTGCCTAAGGAGAAAATAAAAATTCACTTCAATAAGAAATCAATTTAAAAACCCTAATATATGAAGTAAATATCTATCAGACCTAAACTAGAAGATTCATCAAACATACAGAATCCGTTGCATGATCTGCAGTCTATTCATCAGACTTGAACTTAAGAGCTACAAAATCCAAGACTATGACCAAGTAGAGAGACAAGAGACTCCAAAAGCCTTCAAAACAGAACAATTTCATGCAGAATTCTGACTTCTACCTAGTAAATTATCTGGAAAGCATACACAATATAGCCTTCATTCTGTAACACTATTAACAATTTCTTTACTGTTACTTGCTTAAGATCTGTATTTTCCTAATAGCTTTACACAACTTTAAATCATACTAATTTGCCTGTTATCTATGAGGAAATGAAAGTCGATTATCACTAGCTTAAATAATCATCCTTGTTCAGGTTTTCCTAACATTCAGTGGTAGCCAAATTTCCAAACATTAAGTTTCTCATCAAAATACAAGAGGCATAACTCTGAATGAACAACAATGAGGTTTACAATTCCTTACCTGAGATGCCTGTACTATGATAGGTACACCCAAGACTCTCTGTCCAGTCAGTCCTATTGCCAGGGGCACTGAACTAACATCAACAAATTCAACATAAGCAATCCCCTTTGAACGTCTGGAATTTCTATCTGAAATCATTCGCACATCACGAACCTGAAAGGCAACAACAGAGATGGAAATACTTTTAGAGAAAGAGGAAAAAACCTAATGCAGCCTACTTCTCAGGCACATATTAATACTGAGAATTATTTGCCAAGCCAACAGTTTTAATTCTACAGCACCATACACCTTTTGTAACAAACGTATCCCAGAGACAAGAGCTAAAGCTGCTGTTTTGTTTTGTATGTGACAGAGCTTGCAGCACTCTAATGCTTTACACCAGAACCTTACACCTGACAGAATGAAGTTTTTCCAGCTTAGAAGTTACATGAACTTTCAAATGACACTATAACTAACAGACCTATCTGAAAAAAGAAAATATGAAAAATTAATCTGAGTCAGAATTGCATCAACATGTTTTGCCTCCCATCACATGAACAACCAACTACTGAGAAAGTACGTTTTTGTGTTCAAAGCTTTTAATAATTAGTCCATCATTAATCCCTCTTTGCACATGTATAGGAAGCTCCAGAAAGCCACATGCTTACAATTCTGAAAAAATACCAAACCTGTACTAAGTTATCCTAGGACAGCTTGAGGCAAAATTCAGAATTATTTTAACTTCCGTATCAATTACCTTCCCTACTGTAGAGAAAAATTCTTCCAGGTCTCTTGGTCGAATTCTTGCAGCCAACTGCATGCAGAACACTGTTCGAGCATCCCTCTCTTCAGGGGTAAGATTATCAATAGGTTCTCTGGAAAGAGTGAAGTTCAGGTAAAAAAATCAATTGAATTAAGATAACTCATCTCTGGACCACAAATGATACACTAAGCAATCAGTACTTCACAGTCTTGATAGGAAAGAAAATGCCTGCAGTATTAAAAAAAAAGGCAGAGTAAAGAACTGAACGGAATACCAAATATTAACATGGTAAGTTATAACATGACTGAATATTCTATTTCACCTGTGAGCATCAAATATGACTGGAAAATTCTATTTTATGTGCAAAAGCATAAACTGAGGTACCATTTTGCTACTGTCCAGAATTGGTATCAGGTACCACTATGGAGCTTATGTGTCCTTTTCATCAGAAAGATGGAAGGACAAGAACACAAAAGCAAACAGGGCAAACTAGCACAGATCAGCTATCCAAATTCTCAGACAAGTAGTGTGGGCTAGGCTTTACCAACTCACATCTTGCATTTACCCAGTCACTTTGGAGTCACTACAGCCACCACATAAAACAAGACTAACATCCATGTAAATACAACTCGCAGTCCTCATTTCATTGTTTCAGCTTGTTAACCCATAAAGAAGTATGAATAGTGAATTACTTTGATCCTTGACACATTAAGAATTAGAATAATATTATTTCAATACTGAACTATCAGCTGAAATTAGATGCACCACTGTTAATGTATTAAAGCTTCAAATCTAAACAAATCTGACTTGTACTCAAGTGCAAGTTACATAAGCAGTGGCATGGTGTATCCTGGATTGAACTTCCATCCATGTAGCATGTATTTTTATTAAATTAATCACACAGATATTAATCACTTAGAAAACACAAGAAAAATTTAAACATAATTATCTAAGTAAGAGTTTGCCAGTCACTGAAAAACAAAAGGAGATTGGTTAAATTTAACTGCATTAATGTAAAAGAATAATCTCATTAGCAGCTACCTAAATCCTATTCCCTTAAATGAGAAGACTAAGAATGGATAAGCAGCTCCTGGATTGCAAAGGCATATAGCCTCTCGACAAATAACACTAGTAAGTACTGGACAGCAAAAAGAAGCATTTGTACTTTCCCATTTCATACTCTAGATTAAGTACAATTCAGCAGAAAAGCTAATTTAAATCACAATTAATGGGGAAAAATTCAAAATACAGAAACAAAAAACAAACTAATCAAGACTTGTTTTCCAAACAGACATTATTTACAACCTCTTACGACATGGGGTGAAAGCAACATACTACCAACGCTCTTCTCTCACTGGCTTTCTGAATGAATTCCAGCATCCCTTATGAGTTTAAACTGGAGAGCAAGTAGCCATACATTATTTCACCATCACTTTTCCAACTCAACAAAAACAAACCAACCCAAGCACACGTAAAAAAAAAAGTCATACCTAACAGGGCTTTTGTCTTTTCTGAAAGGACTTTTGCTTCTGGAGCGACGTCTGCTAAAAAGGAAGATCAACAAGATTACAAGAAAACCCCCCAATATACCACTCCTGGTTCTAAACAAAACCTATTAATGATGCAATGAAAAACAGAGAAAAGTCAAAAACCTTAATTTGATGCTGTGAGGCAGACCAATCTTCCCTCTGATGGCACTGTTGAATTTTGGACCAGAACTATGGCAGAAGAAAAGACAAGACACCTGAGTACTTCAATTCAAAATGTCCCGTCTGTACTCACATTACATTCCAAGTGCTCACCCACCCTTGCCTCTGAACTTGTCAGCATTTCCATTAGCAGCACCCACAGCATGCATAAGATCATCAGTTAGTTGTCAATACATGCAGCACTTCAGACCATCAGGCACAGAATATGATCCCCGCCCACTTTCACCTACATCACAAAATCCCAGAATATGCAGGACTCTTCATGAGACAGTCAGTCATGGCACATTGGTATATGCAAACTATTCTGAGCTACAGTTACTGTTAGAACCCATTTTCACCTGTTTTTTTGTCCACATGCAAGTTCTACATACTGACGACTGCAAAGCATAACATTCATGGCCTTGAACTCAGCTTCAGAGATGTATGCCAAGTGGTACTGGCAGGATTACTTGCTCGAGTGCAACATTTTAAAATCAAAAGTTCCAAGAAATTTAAGGCACTAGAGCAAACCAAAGTGGCTCCATTCAGACACCTGCAAGAGAACGTTCACTAATGGCTCTAACCACTGAAGTGCTGCAAATATGTAAATGAAGCTTCCTTAAAATTCCTAATGGCCATCAAACCACAGAAGCAGTGAAACCAGCAGTCAGCTGTATACAGACACGTAACCACAAAAGGAATCCAATCTCTTGACTGAATCTAATTTAATTCTTCAGTCATCACAGAGTCTCTTGGAACAAACTGTAATCTGCCCTTTGCTTCCATTTTAAGGACAGTCCTCCTTCTAGTCAATGGGGCACCCAGGAACAGACTGCGACATGAGCAGTAAGATCCGTCCTATCATGCTCCCCCTGAATTTGATCTCCTGGTAGAGAGTTGTTCAAAAGGCAAAGAGCAACACCTGTTAACATTCTTCCTGTATCACCACCAAGTGCAGAGGCACTCTGCACAGACTGAATACTGTGCACTGGGCTTTGGCTTTCCATCTGTACACAATTGATTCTTTCTGCTGTTGCTAAAAATTGATGTAAAACACCCTGAAAGACACGGCGGGCTGAAGACACTAAGTAGTCTTTCACTAAATCCATTTGGCCACGCAATTTGTCTGAAAAACGTCTTCTTGCTCCTCAGTGGAGCAGTAATACTTATGAGTTAAACTCAGCATCCACCACAAGGAGGAGGATGCCCATTTTTTAAGCATGTCGTGACACAGTTGGAAGTAGTGGGCCAAGATCCAAAACCGTGCTGGCCAGGTTAAAGCAAGGGAAACATGGCCCTGTACAACACTGGAAAAAAAAAATAAAGAAAAAAGACCATTTAGAAACGGCTTATGAAGATAGCTACTTACTGAGCAAAAATAAGACATAAAACACAGGCATATGTTGAGATGAGATCACAATTGATCAAAACCAGACCTTTTTTTGCCTAGGATAAATTACTCCCTTTCCTGCTCAAGTCCAGACAAATTATTGCTGGGAGTGTCCATTGAGGCTCTTCAATAACTACTGAACAACTGCCAAAAGCTGCACCTGGAAATACTGGTACTAATTTCAGAGGCTACCTTCTTATCAGCCACGGGACTACCTTGCACCTTCACATCAGATGTAAAATATGGTGCTCTCCATTTTAATTCAAATGCAGCCAGACAGACCAGTTACAGTGACTCCAGAACACTAACATGCAGACCAACAATAATAAATAGTTAAGACCATGAGTTTTCAAGAAAATGGTGAAAGAAATATTTTAAGTATTCGTCTAAATTTAATGAATAACAAAACCAAAACACCAACAACTGAGAAGTAACAGCTTTCAAATACATGCACAAAGTGGGGGTGGAGGGAAGAGGAAAAAAGGGCAGGGAAAACCCACAACCCACCATAACTCCAAAAATCTCCATTTTCTTTCTTGACTAGTACTGTCTTATTTACAGAACTCCATGAGACCAACATTAAGAAACCCCAGACCACTGGAACAGACCAAGCAGAAAACTGCCTAGGGCAAAGTCAGAGCCCAAATTACCTTCTCAAAATCAACAGTATACCCTTTTCAACGGTATTCTCCCTGTGTTTTTCAAAGGAGACTTGTTTGTAAAGTCATACATCTCAAGTAAAACTTCTTCACTGCTTCTACTGTCTCTACAATTGTTGCCCAGTTCCTGGTGATCTGTATGTCACAAGCCATTAATCTCTGTGTCTAGGAGCCACCTTCTTTGTAAGCCAAAGTCCTGTGTGCAGCCAAAGCACACACTTCCACAAAACCTGTGAGATGTCACAGGGCCCAACAATGGTCATGTCAGAAGACAGCCAGCAAATCATCAGCTTTTACCTATTCATTCATATTCAAGATTCCAACAAAAAAATGTTGGACAAGGCAAACTTTGGGTAACAAAGTCCAGGAGAATCACAAACAACTTTCAGTCATCACTGAAAAATAAACCTGTTTTCCTAACAGCTTTGTCTAAATTTGTGATTTCAGAATAGAAACAAGATGATCTAAGTGACTTCTACTTTATGTTAGCAGCAGCTGGGATTTGCCCAGCACATGTCTAAGCAAGACTACTCAGTCAAGTTTTCTCCTAAGAGACCTAATGACGCAGCCATGTAACACTTAAAGGATAACATATGTGAAAATAACATGAGAAAAAAAAACCTCATGAACACTAAGCAATGCAAGACAGTCACCTAATTTTAACCTAATTTAAAATTAAAGCATTTAACCACATTTCAAGCCTCAAGTGAGAAACTCAAAGTTTTCAGGTTCTCTGTAGCACTCTCCTCTCTTTTTCCTTCAGAATTACCTGAACTTTTTTCTCACTACTGCTGAGATGCCTCCTAATTGCTCTCAGTGGCAAAACCATCTCAGTTTACAGATAACCAGCTTGAAAGTGAGCCTTTATAAAGCTCATGAGAAAGATCACAAGGAAGAGGAAGAGTAAGATAAAGATAAAAATAGATAAAAATAGTAAGATAAAGATAAAATAGAAGCCATTAAGCAATTTGATCTAGATACTGCAGTCAGCTACAACCCTGTCAGCAATAACTCCAACCCAAAACTACTGGAACAGCCCCACAAGGAGAGATTCCAGAAATAAATTCTCCAGCCAGAAAGAGTACTCTGGCTGTCACTTTTGAAACACTGAACTTGTGCCACTGATACAGAGACAACTTCTTCAAATGAAAGCTCAGTATTGGTAGATCCAAAGGTGGTTGGTGACGCAGGAGGCTTTATTGCCTAAGTTTTCATCTCCCTGAAATTCAGCATCTGTTATACAAATTTAAAGGTGGGTCCCTGCATTTTAAGAGCCTTGAACAGGAACTCCACAATCCCTTCTCTTTCACACATTTAGAGCCATAACTAGAATTCTGGAATCACATTAGCATGCTTATCATTTTAACAGGACCATTCATCATCTACAACTGAATGACAGCAACTGCTTGCTGACTGCCATCAGTCAACACAAAAGATTCTGGGACACATGTGCTTGCCCTATACCAGTTTTCCACAAAACCATCTAAACACACTAGAATTCTACTTGGTTAAATGAAAGCAATGATTTGGCAACTGAAGCAGTGAACCAACTATCAAATGAATAGCACAACTATATACCCTCAGAGCATACTACATTATCCCTGCATCTTGTTCACTGTACCTCAACACCAGAGCAATCACCCAGAACAGCTATGGGAGAGTGCCAGGACAGCAAAAAAGACGCCTTACACTACTTACCTTAATGGCATAACATATCTCAGTGCATTAAAACAGGCATGGGTTATTGTAGTAACTTTCAACCTCTACTTGCAGAAATTATTTTAGAAGACCAGAACACTGGAAATCCCAAATTTCTCCAGGTGAAAAACCTTCTCACCCAGTGACAACAAGAAAAACAAAGAATAAAACCCTCCAACACAGCTGGAAGAACGTAGCAACTCCCAACTACAAGACAGAACAAAGGATATCCTCTCCACACAACACTGCACCGGAGGGAAGGACGCCAGCAGGCTCCATATACAGAACGCTGAAGTTTTTGATCAAGGTCCTCCTTGAGCCACAACAGTGGCACTGGCATAACCCAACCAGCTACTGTAATCTTACACGTGCAATAGAGTTGTAGGAAAACAACTCTGCACTGCTGAAATCTTTACAGCTGAAGTCCAGAGCAGTGTACAGAGGCTCTGATACTCAAGACAAAGGAAGTGCAGGGCTGATATATTATGATCCCCACACACACAGGATTGATGATGCACAGGATGCCACTGCACCTTAACAGAACCCAGGAACTGCAGCAGGTTTTCATTACGAAAATGCCAGCATCTAGCTGACTTAGCACAGAGTGAGATCCTGAGACCTCAGGAAGTTTTTGTTTGTAGTCCAAGAGTACAAAAAGCCCGAAGAAAAACGTTCAGGTTCGTAAAATTGCACAAGCCTACAATTTATCAGAAGGTAAACACTGTCTGCCCAAACATCTTGAGAGATTTCTCTATCATGGATGGCATCATATCTCATGATTAAAAAAATACATCCTTTTCAAATGCTTTCTTTTAACATGATCTTGCATTCCAAGATTTGACAACAATTGAGATGAGACCCAGACAACAGCAGAGACAAACCGCAGCCTCAGGTAATCAATGACAGTCAAACATCCAGCCCAGTTCCCACTGAGTTTCTGCAGAAAGAGGCAATGGGAAGCAAAAGGGAGAACCACAGTACAAACCATCAGAAACTACAATGATGAAAAAACATCTTTTGAGAATTGATTTACAAATGCCTGGAACCACCTATTGCTGAAGTTCTATCAAGCTAAATATCTGAGAGAACGAAAGAATTCCTGTCAGCCTCTAAACAAGTCTGAGAAAAAAGCAGGGCAAATTTGCAACACATGAGCATTACTAAGACCAGATGCTCCCAGTCTGGATGCATAAACATGGAATATGTTTGTGTGAATATCCATTTATGGAGTTAATGTTCAAGAACAGCAAGACAGTAAAAATCTTCAGTAACTCCAAAAAAAAAAGGGGTATGAGCCTGTAACCAAATTAACAGACTACTATTAATTTTTGACAGTTAAACTATCAAGTTCATATACTTTAAGTAGTTAGGACATGGAGAGAATTTTGTTGTTATATTGATTTTGTGATAAACTTAGTTTTCCACTCAGCTGTACACATTCTTTCATTTGTTTTCCCATCTCTGTGTTTGGCCAAGAATGAAAACCTAGAGGAGGAATATTACTATCCCCTTTTGCCCTCTGTATTTACTGACATTCTTCAACCAACCTCTCACTTTCTTTTCAATGATAATTATTGACCAATTTAGAAAGCAGAGAGTGAAACTTTAAACTTCCACACTGTGACAATGAAGCACACATGGAACTCTGAACAAATAACCTACTAGGGACTCCTATAGCGGCCTCTGAACCGGCGATCTCTGCTCCTAGACCGGCTGCGTCTGCGTTCTTTGCTTCTGCTCCGTTTCCTTTCCCGGCTCCTGCTCTTTTTCCGTTCCCGATCTCGGCTCCGTTTGCGTTCCTTGCTTCTGCTCCTCTTTCTGTCATGGCTTCGACTTCGGCTCTTGCTCTTTTTTCTCCTGACAAAGAAAGTGCAACTTCAGTTACACACACAGTTCAGTGTTATTTACCCCACATTCCACAGTGCCTCTGATGTCACAGACACTGATGGGAAAAGTTTGTAGCTGTTGGTATTTGTACTTTTTATTGTTAAATGGGTGGCTAAGCATGTCAGCAATCTCCTTTCATAAGCCACATGAAATCTGCAACAGCACATTTTTATTTTAAATTTTTTAATTGCTAGAGAATGCTTTCAGAAGAGCAAAAGGACTAAAACCCCATTTCCTATGTTAGGCCTAGTACACAGCAATTGCAGTACTTCATCTGGTGTTCAAACATACTTCATTATTTTAAGAATAAATTATATAGCAAAGTAAAACAAAACACAACAAAAATAGGAAGAAAGAGGCAAGTCTGGGGGAAAGGAAGGTTGTTTCCTCTTAATACTCCTTGCCAATAGTCTTTAAGATGCTGCTTTTAAGAGTTTTGCTTCCTACTTGCTACTCCCACTCATAAACCACTTGCTTTTTTAAGTCTGTGGCTCTTAGAGGTTTGGGGCAAACTGCAGATTTTTGTACCTTTACCAACTTACTTAGAAAATGGAATCTTCTAAAACCTGTATGTCAATTGTACCTCATATTTGAAAACTATGTGCAGTAAGCAACTGTTTCATTACTGAATTTGGATTGATCACAATTTTTTTCTTCCATCTCAGCCTCAGACCACCAAAGCTTAGTCTCCTAGTTTCTAAAATATATCCGTATGTACATATAAGACACATGTTAAACAGATGCTCAAGCCGTTATTAAAGACAGCAAAATAATTAACTTTGCTGCTAAACTTTCATAGTTTGAAACATCCTTCATCACTGAATTTTTCCTCTTCTTCCTGTTAGGCCTTCTGATTGCAGATATCTTTTCTCAATGAGGTCACTCACGCTCTTAAAAACTCTTTTAAAAGGGCATGTGGATTACAAAATGTTAATCCCTGTGTCTTTCTATGGCCATGTATAAACTAAGACTTCCAGTTAGTTTCAATTTCTGAAGTAAAAACATCTCTCATCTGCCACATCTAACTGAACCTAATTATTAATACCTTTTGCTCTCCAATCTCCTCCTAGGAAGGCCCACTCAAAGTATCTTAGTATTTATCTCTGAAGACAAGCATTTTGCAATTACGTTTTAAACACTATTTCTTTTTTTTTTTTTTTTCTTATCTGCCATAGTCCATTAGTTTCTTTAATGTTTTTGTATGGACAGAGAAGCTGCTGCATCAAAACCCAATATTCAGAAGCTTCACAGTTTTCGATAGTTCTCTATTTCCGCGTGGTGTCATCAGAATCAATCACACTTCCTGCTGTAACACAGTTTGTTATGGTTAGGCACACACTGTCCCTCGCCTCTAGGATCCATAATTTACCAACATTTCCCCAAGGTAAAACCCTAAAACACTCACTGTTAAAACAGCTCTGAAAAACACTCCCTGAAGCTCACTATACTGACCAGTACCAGTAACTATTAACTGCAGCCACTCTTCACCAATGACAGGAACTATTCCCTATCCAACAGAGGGAACCTGCTTTGCAGGCAAGGATTCCCAGCAGTCCAGATCCATGCTCTGCCTTCAAATCACAATTGAGCTGGGCCTACAGGACAGACATCTAGTAAAAATGCAGATCCTTAATTCTTCCAATTAATAAAATGGACATCTAAGTATGATTTGACAATTACTGAAAGCTGCACATTGTTATTTATTTTTAAAGTTGCTGATGTTCGCTGTGGATTTTCCTGACAGTCTGAATCTTATTTCAGTATTTGCCCAACTGAAGTAGATAAAAAATACCATTTGGACACAATTTGATTGTTTTAAAGCAAAGCAAGAAGTCTTGAAAACCCTGCATACACCTTTGTCTTCAGCAACAGAGTACACTGTCACAACACATCACAAAAAAAAAAGTTATCTAAACTTTACGGGGAACAAGAACTATATAAAAATTAACTTCTAGAGCTTAAAAATATTGACAGCAGCTGCTTTTGATGGGATTTTAGAGGTCTAAGCAGTTAGCATTAAAATTATTTCCACTGTATTATTCAGAGCACAAGTAAAAGCATGTCATCTGTATGATTTCAGAAGGTGACAATAGCATACATGCTAACTTCAGTGCATTTCTGTAATACACAGCTAACATTCTACTGTTTTGTCAACTATCAACTTGGTAATTTTTTTCTTTACATCAATTACCTCTTCACCAAATGGTGCTTGTAAGGTAAGGAATTTATTTTACAGACTACACACCTTTTGTGTATCAGCAGGTCTTCACGCTCTGGAATTATGCTTGCTGAGCAAGGTGGGCTTGTGTTCTTGTTTTGTAAAAAACTTGTATTATAAATTTAGATGTCTTCAAAGGGCAGGGATGTGGAGCAAGGCAACTCAATACCCTAAACCTTTTCAAGAAAGCACTGGTTTCTTTAAGTGCTTTCCCCTGCTCCAAACCACAATTCTACAACAAATAATTTTTAAAATGCAAAATCCATTGCATAGTTCAAGTAACAAAAAGAGTTTAAATATGCTGAACATACTAAGCCTGTATTTTTACCTGATGCTAGGTGAATGTTTCTGCAATTTTGATTACATCAGTTGCAAAGGGTATTAACTACATTTGTAAACAAAAGAAAATTTCCAAATTGCTGCAACTGCAAATTCCAAGCTTTTTCAAATTATTTCCTTAAACACCACTGACATGGATTCACAAGTCCACAAAAACCAGCAGCCTCTACCCAAATGTAGAGAACTGAGAAAATACTTACTTCTTGCTGCGTTCTTCATGGCCATTGGCACTGCTCAATTTGTTCTCATCCTAAGCAGGGTTGATAGAAGAACATCGTGAGGACGAAGCGGAAATATTTCAAGTGGTCAAAGGGTAATGGGAATAGGAATAAGAAAATAAAAAAAAAAATTTAATACTAAATTACTTGTTTACAGGTTAATGTGGAAAGCTTTAGAAAATTTAGGTAGGCACGTTTAACCACTTTGCTGCTTAAATTTAAGTCATACAATTACAAAATACAAGACTTACATCATTTAAAAGTGTGTATTAAATTGTAGATACTTCCATACATGGTTTAGAGAGCAAGTTATCCTGTAGAATTCAGTACTCAAATGACTAAATGTTATTTCTATAAAATTTAAGAGGAAGTCTGAGGTGTTTGCGAGCCCCTGTGATTAGTACCAAGGCTATATCGCTGCCTAAGCCCCGTGGCTACACTAGCAGCCAGCCACTATCGATTTCCTGTGACCGATGCCATTCCCGAGATCTTCACTCATTTTCGCTGAAGGGTTGTAAGAGCTTGATGTCACCTCTGTCACACATCTCGCCCTGAAGCAAACAGGGATTCACACTGCTTTAGTAACGTCGACTCCCAAGCAAGCCATCAATAATCCACCAGTCCAGCCTAAACATCCCCTATTTCCATACCTGTTTACATGGAAAATATCCATGTTAAGCCAGGACACAAGAATTTTAACACAACAGTTCACAAATTTCTCTTCAAGATGTAAATGTAACTGCTAAATATTACATTAACTAAATATACCACTTAAAACTTACAAATGCTCATCCAAAATTCATAACATGGTTGTAATAAACACTGCAGAACAGACTGACAACAGCTGCTATGTAACTTATATACTGGCTTTACAGTTGAATCACATTGGTTACATCAAAAGTACAATTCCTAGGCGACTTAAACTTATATACATTTCTTTCAAAATCAATGCTAAAGCATGCAGTCTGTTAACACTTCAACACCATCTGGTGGAAAACAAAAAAAGACAGTATTCATTTGCTGCAGGTTTAAGTGAAGGACATCACTAAGCTAATTGATAAAAATTTCACAGAAAAATTGACATTTCCTAATTAAACTAGGAAAGAAGAACACAAGAGTTTCTTTTAGAATAATACCGCAGACTGTGATACTGTCTTTTACTTGCTAAGAACATTCTATTCAGGGATCCAAGAATTTCTGTAAATTCGTTCACTCAGCAACTGATTTTCATCTGCCCTGTTGAAAGATTAACCGCCAGCAGCCTTCTGCATTAAAAGCAAGTCCCACTCTTCTCACACTGAGCAGATTGTTCAAATATTTACTTGCCATGGGACTGGTGAAAAGGTTATTCTTGGAGCCCCGCTGTTTTCCCAAACCACTGCATTCACCTTGTTGCTATACCAAACTGGACTTCACAATTTTGGAGAAAAGGTTTTAGGATTTTGGTTTCTGGGGTTTGTTTTGGTTTTGTTTAGTTGGTTTTTGGGTGGATTTGTTTTGTTTTGATTGTGTTTGGTGGTTGTTTCTTTTTTAACCTAGGGGACCACGGTACAGCGATACGTCACTCAATTACTACCTTATGATTGACAGTTCACACTGGAATCAAAGGTGAATTCATGGGAGTAGAGGTGAGATATCGTTAGGCAAGTCTACAAAGAGAGATAGATGGGCATTTATTCATCACGCTGAAGTGAAACTACTGCACAATATAATTACATTAACAGTATATATTAACTTGAAAGTTACATGTAATGTATGTCCAATAAGATAAATCATGAGGGCTCCAGGGATGTTAGTTTACAGTTCAGCAGTAGTTTCATGAATAATGCTAAATTAAGGTAAACAGGACCTCACTGGCATATTTTTTCTCACCTTTTTGTAAGGAGCTTCAAGCATTGCTTCAATATCAATATCATCAGCCATTTTTCAGGACACCTGAAAGAAAAGCAATTCCACCTGAGTTGGAGAACACCCTTGTGCTTTATATTCCAACAGCTTTTTTTTAAGAGGTCATCACTGCATTGGCTCAAATTCACTAAACATTTACAAATTCGGTAGGCATTTCCAACAAAAACTGGAATGAAGTTTCGCCCAATGAGACGGTAACGAATGTGTGCAAAGTAATTACAGCTGCAAACAACAAAATGTGATTGAACACCATTAGCCAGAGGAAACCCAGAGGCATTCCATGAATTTCTTTCAAAACAAAGAGCACAGCATATTTATAACACAGAAACACAGCTCTGGTGGCCATCTTGAGAAGTGCTAGAGCTTCAGCAAAGGACAATGAACAATCAGGCAAACCTGTTCACAGCTTCTAGCCTTTGCCACCATCATTTACCAATCTCAGCAAGTGGACACCATGGTACTTTAAGAAATGCAGCCTCCTCCATAACAGGGGTCACAGGAAAACAGGTATGATTCCACGGCTAAGAGCTACTAAAGCATACACAAAGTCCATCCAGTCTGGAACTTCACATCTCAAAACAAAAACATCCATCACACCAGGTAACACTCGACACCACAGCCATTTTGGGTTTAGCTGCTCCTCTTATTTTCCAATTTCAACCCCTTAATATAATTTTATGTTCACTATACTCTGAATGACTTTGACACTTGATTTCCTCTCCCTATGCAGGTATCCTATTAAGCACCTCTCAAGACTCCTGGCATTAAACTTAGATATTCAACTTCCTCAAATCTCCTAGTGGAAGTTTCTCTTTTTTTTCTTTCTTAAGCTCCAGAATGGCCAGTCCTCTAGATCCAAGTCTAACAGCCAACACTGAAGATTTGTGTGTGCACAATAAAACGGATTTTTAATTATACAGGTTAGTTCTTGCACCTTGTCTACAGGCAGGAGAACTGTGCTGTCCCAAGGCTTTGGCAGAATAACAGAAATGCTCCAACACATCAAGATCCTTTACACTGGTCACTTACAATGTCGTAATTGAGAATGCTTTACCAGAGCTGCAGCACATCTGACCCTGGCCCAGGGATACATTCTAGAATAAAACACCATCCTCAAGCACGATCAAACACTGGAAGTTCACACTCAATACTGAACTGAGGCACACTAACCTAATTTTCAAACGATTACCTATTGGGCTATAGTGCCATCACTTACAGATATGACTGTCCTTCCTTTAAGTACAATGGCTCAATTTTACTTTTTACTACAGTATTTATAGTCGGCTTTTCAAGCCATCTACAGACATGCATGTGATTTAATTCACAGCTGTTCTACCAGTATGTAGTATAAATAGTACATCAGTATGATCAAGGCAAGAAAAAGGCAAACCCAGGATTCTACAAAAAAATTCCCACTGTTGACAACTCCCACCCAAAATTACATTTCCAGATGTGTAATTTAGCCAACATATCAAGCTACACTTGGGGAGGAATTCTTCATTCTGAAGAAGGGTTGCCATAATAGGGACCATCAAATCTTGAATGGCATGGAAAAATGCAGAGGGAATGACTATTACTGCATTCCCCCAAATAATGAGTGAATGAACTATCATCCAGTGGATTCAAAACAATGGTCCTTATTCACAAAGCATTTAGCCACTGAATTCACTGTTGAAGGGCACTGTGGGTCTAACAAAGAAAAATAAGTACATGCAATGTTTAAAAAAAAATCAACCATAACAGTTTAAAGAAAAAGGTTTTCATTAATCAAAGGCATGCCTCGTGACCCTGAAATACACCTAACTGACAACTAAGCGCACACAGAGAGAACCGTCAATGTGTCACTGCGCTGTTCGTTTTTTGGCATCTACTGCTGGCCACCATTATTGAATGTCCTGAGCTGCATGGACCTTTGGCCTCACCGCAGCAATCTGTACCCTTTGTACTCTTGACAAAACACGTCCACTGGGACAATACCATGTTATCAGAGTACCTTCTCTCTACATGTATCACAGTCCTGTTATCAGCCTTGCGATGCATACAATGATGCTACCCACCAAGCAGGAAGTATTTTTTTAAAAACCACAAATGAAAGCCCTAATAATTTCAAATTACTAGAAAGTCCTAGAAAGATTTTCAAGCATCCTTCATTAAATACCAATGCTCAAAAAAATTTTCCTAAAAACCTTTCAGCTTTTTCAAAAAAGCTACGTATGACTAACTTGTTTGTTAAGGGGAAAAAAAATAAAACCACCCAAACAAGCAAACAAAAAACACCAACAAAAAACCATGCCAAAACATCAAAATAAAAAACGAATGAACTACACTTGAAACTTTGTGGATCTACAGAAAATTTAAAGGGACATGAAATTTACTGCAACTGAACAAGTCATTATTTTGAAAGAAATCACTCTCCTTCTTTCATAAAAGGAATTTAAAAGGGTCCGGTTCTCAAAATTATTTGTTTTAGAAATCCAACGAATGACAATGCGACACGTATTACGTGCAGTGTCCTGGAACAGCATCAGGAAACTTTAAGGAGGACTCCGACGCCTCAGAAGGGGAGCTAGCCTCTCAGCAGGACCCATACGTCTGCGGGCAGGTCCCCGACTGCAATTCCCAATTCCCTCAATTCCCACATGCTCCTGACACGATCGAGCAGAGCAAATTCGGTTTCCTACAAACAATGATACCTGGCGCTGCCTGTCCCGCCGTGACCGCCCTCCCACCTCGCTTCTTCCAAAAGCCTTCACTGCCCGCCCGCCCGCGGCGGCGGCGCTCCCGCACCCCCGCCCCGTGTCCCTGCGCGAACGGCCCCGCAGCTGTTCACGCCCGGTCCCCCCGCACGGCGCCATCGCGGGAAGAGCCGGGGCGGGGCAGCACCACGCCGAGGGCAGTCGGGCCTGCCCGCGACGTGGCCACGGGAACAACCACACCGCACAGGGCCGGGCCGCGGGGCGGAGATCACCGGGCGCTCTGGCGACGGTGAGGCGCAAAGCGGCCCCGCGAGTAGGGCCGAGGCGGCCATAGCAGGGGGAGGGGCGCAGACGCCCCGGCCGCAGCACACCGCGGACCAGGCCGCGCTCGCCCGGCAGCGGGGCCCGGGGCCCATCCACAGTTACCTGCGCCGCGGGCAGTGCGATCCTCGCTAGGGCCCCGAAGTCCGGCAGCGGCGGCTCCGGCGTCACTGCCCTGGGGGTGGGGAACGGGCCCGAGGGCTTGAGCACCTTCTCCAGGCGTCTGAATCTTAAATGGACGGCGGCGCTCGGGCAGCCCCGGGGACCGGGCAGCGAGGGGCGGCGCGGCCGTGAGTCGGTCCCGGTGCCGGTCTGGTGCCGGTCTGGCCCCGTCTATGGCTCCGCGGCTGCTCCCGAAATGGCGCCCGGCCGCTCGCGGCTCCGCGCACGGCACGGGGGCGCCCAGCGCACCGCGCAGGGGCTCTCGCGAGATGCACGGCCAAACAAGCCGCTGCACGCCCAGGCTCGCCGCCTCTCGCGAGATATCGCGCCCGGAAGCAGTGGCTCGAATGCTCGCGAGATTTGAGTAGACATGTGGCTTTGTCACGCGCCTTTGCACTCTCGCGAGGGCTTGCGCGCCCGCCTGAGCGGGCCGGGAGGGGCCGAGGGGCGGGGCTGCAGTGCGGGGCGGGGCCGCGGGGCGGGGCGTGTCCAGCGCTGGGCTCACCTCAGCCCAGCCCAGCCCGGCCCGGCCCGGCCCGGCCCGGCCGCTGCAGTGCTCTCGAGGCGCGGGTGCCTGCGGGCTTGTGGGTGTCCATTGCGTTCGGAGCACCCGTTCCTTCCCTGGCTCTGGAAGAGCCGTGTCCCACATCCTTCAGGACGTTCTTGAGCCCCATGTCGTGGCCTTTCATAGACTCTTGCTTTCCAGCAATCTAAAGTGGATTATGTTATGGAGTGGACAGGAGGGTGAAGTTACTGTGCTATTTCACCAGAGATTGTGCTGACGTGATGCACAGGGTCTGTGGTCTGATCTTTGTCCATTTGGCTGAGGCCTTGATGTGGTTCAGTCACATTAACAATGCCCGAAGCTGTTCGGCCGTACCCTTCTGCCAAAAACCACACCTCCCTTCCCTTCGTGGGCTAGCAGTGTCTTGCCGATGTTTTAGCCACTCCAAGTAAAACAATCTGTCGATGACCTTCCCTTCTGGTGCAGCTTTTGGCCCAAGCCACTGCAGATTGCTGGAGTCTTGAAGCTTAACTCAGAAGGGAAGTAGTGTTTTGTGAAAAAAGCCCCTCTTTAACGGTGCTCAGTGCTGTCTCATTAACAGTGCTTTGTTTCCTTCAGAGCTCACAGAATGGTTCATTTGTATTTAAATTTAGTAATACGTTTGGGGCAATTGTTCAAGGTAGAACAGATAGCATTAAGTCAGTTTCCTGCTGCAATCAGCAGGAAATAAATTGTTGCTGGGGAATTTTAGGTTGTTTTGTTGTTGTTGTTGTCGTTGTAGAAATCTGAAATAATGTAAAGAGAAATTAGAAACAAACTTTGCCTCCTGAAATTATAATTTTTTTCCTGAAAATCCCAGGCTACTGTCTCATTAAATGGCATTTCTAACAAAGTTCCTGAAATGTTAATAGCAGAAAATGATCCTGGGGCTCTTGCCCAGAGTGTCCAAGTCTTTCTAAGATGAAGTGGTCAACCAGTAGAGTTTGGAACATTTAGGAAAAATTATCTGTTTAAAGCTAAAAACAAAGCATAACTATAATAGTGTTTTTTCCAACCTAAGAATTTCTGTACAGTTTGGTTGTAAACAAAAACACTAGTCTTCTCACAGACAAAACAAGGTTTGTTGTATTTGTTCCCGTGCACTGCTCTGGCTGCTTGTCCCGTACCCCTCGGCTTCCAGCCAGCCACCGAGTCTGGCCTAACCACCTCCATGCTCCTTGTTCGCTCACCTTGTGATTGTGACTGAAGTATGTGCGTAGGCTCATATTGGTGGATTTACCTACGGCTGTTCTCTGTCACCATTGGCCTGTGGAGCCAGGCTCTGGAAGGACTACACGGAAATGGGGATTTTTGTCTACTTGACTCACACGCTCCTTGCCCATGGCTGGTGCCCAGGCAGTGTGGGAGAAAGGATGCACCGTACACACAGTACTCTCAGAGAGGTGCAGGTGGCTCATGAGGGGTCTGGAGCAGCAAACAGCTGCACAAGCTGCATGTCCAGCCCTGTCGCCAGACCCGGCGTATCACCGGAATGCCCCGGCCCGTGGGCTGTCGACACTCCGCTCCACTCAGCTGTTCGTGTGGTCACTACGCACCTGGCGGGATTCACCTCTGGAGCTGACGGGAAGCTTCCAGTACCACACTTCCTAAAAAAGGTTTTCTTGTTTGTGGGATGGCTTGATCCGGAGGAGAGACTGGCTCTGCAGTGCTGACACATAATGCCACCTTATCGCTGGCGTTCCTTTCCCTAAACCTGCCTCCGTGCCCGCGCCAGGAAGTTCGTTCGCCACAGGCGCCAGGGTTGTGGGCGGGAGTTTGTTCGCGTTACCGGAGCTGCGAGGGGCAGGAGGCGCCGCGCAGAATTAACAACCCTTGGAAGGGAAGTAGGCGAACGAAATAAAAAGCTCAGCTTTCCCACACCGGGAGTCGAACCCGGGCCGCCTGGGTGAAAACCAGGAATCCTAACCGCTAGACCATGTGGGACTGCACGTTGATGTGTTGTGCCTCTGCTACCTCATCCCTGTTTTGCTGCCTGTCTGCGCTGTCTCTGATTTCTGCCTGCATCTCCTGCCCGCGCAGCCCGCCGTTCCTTTCCTCCTGCCCGCGCTGCCCGCCGTTCCTTTCCTCCTGCCCGCTGCCCGCCGTTCCTTTCCTCCTGCCCGCGCTGCCCGCCGTTCGCTGCTCGCTGACCTCTGCCCGCACCGTTGGTCAGCATCAGGGAGTGGGGTGGGGGGTGCAGGGCCACTCCGCTTAATAAAAAGATGAGGTTGGAGGTTGACAAAACTGAAGAAGTAGGAAATTACTAATGGGAAGATGAACAAATGAAGTATGGCCTAAAAAAGGCACAGAAACTTCATAACAGCCACTGACATGCTCTGAAACAAATCAGAGCAACCACAAAAGCAGGCAGAACAATTGCACTACCCAGCTTTGGTTGAGAATATCCTTACCAGACGCTGGTACAAGGCAGGTAACAGGTGGCACACTGAAGTGGCTGGCTGTGGATGTGCAGGAAGAACTGACTATTGAGCATGTGGAGGAGTAATGCTGGATGTTGAAGAAACTTCAGAATCAATGTACCTAAACCATTTTAATCTTCCAAGATGTAACTGAACCCCTATATGTGGAAAATTCAGAAAATTCATAAATAGGCAAAGGAGAGAATTAGGACTATTGTAGTGAACAGAGTGTAAAACCAGTGGTGGTGACAGTAATGTATTTAGGAGGTCAGAGTTGCTACCAAGGCAGAAAACATCATTATGAAAAGTCTCCAATTACCCCCACACTGAATGAGTAAATGTCACATCAGCATATCGTTCTTGCTACATTTAGATATCACAAAAGTTTGATTTTTGGAGCAGCTGGTTGGAGAACATAAAAGAAGGAATTGGGTTTAATGCTGAGTTGTGTGAGGGGCTGTTAGAACAGTCATGGATAGCAGTGAGTATAATGTATTCAATCTGGTCACAATGAATGTCAACAAAGGAATTCCTATCTCAAGTGGTTATTAAAAAATTAATAAACCAAAAGGATAACATGGTTGTAAGAAGCATGGAGATTCTAAAATTACTCAGAACACTTCCATCACCACAAAGAAAAAGCTATGGCTACAAAGCACCAAAAAATAAGGTTATGGAAATATTAAATTAAAGATAAAAATGTGAAGGTGGCGTAGACCATGTCCATATACTAGCAGAGAAAATCCTGAATAGGTTATAAACTATCAAATTAATCTGACAGTAACTACAGAAAGTAGATTTGAACGGATCCTGTTTCCTCATGTGGATCCCAACTGCAGCCCACTGACCTGCATGAGGTTGCTAAAGACATGGACAAGGACTGGCTGACAGCCAGACAGCCCAGCTTTTTTGGCACACAGTGATCTTAGTCTGTCTCTGACATGAGGGGGAAAGTTGTTCCCAAGGACTTGACAGTGGTGGTGGAGGGATTTGGGCTTCTTCTATGTATCAACCTGCCTGTCCTCAGCTTCTCTTCTAGTTTCACAACTAGATGAATCTCTTTCTCCTTCCAGAAGTTCTAGTGATATGTCAGTATGAGCAGCAGTGCCAGCATCTACGCCCCTCCACTTTTGCTTGCTTAGGAATTGCACGTGAGGGAAGGGCAAAGGTTTTCCTTTGTCAACCATCCCTGAAGATCGGGACCTGGGGGAGGCAGAACTTTGGCTTCATTTCAAGTGGCCATACTCATGCTGTTGATCTCACCTGTCTGTGAAGCTATTCTCAGGGCCCCAGGAGCACTAACAAGCCCTTAGACCAGCCTCACTAAAGGCTTGCCCCCCAAGCCCTGCTCAGGAGCCCCAGTGCACATCAGCCCTGTGTGGCAGCAGCTCTCTCCACAGACAGCAGCAGGCAGAACTTTCCCAGGTATTTTCCTGGGGAAGGCTGTGAAAAGATCAGAGAAAAGAATGAGAAACAATTCTTATCTCCACTTGCTGCACCTGTTGTTGTGCACATGTGGAATGCACATGTTATGGAGATTTGTTTACCAAAGGGTGATTTCTTAACTGGACTCTTGTTACTCTAGGACATGAAACAGAAAGATGCAGACACCGGATTTTCCAAGGCAAAAAAGAAGGAAGTTTAATTCTGACTCCAACATTTATAGATTTCCAAAAGTGACAGTGGATTGGAAGGTGAAAGTGCCACCTCTCCAATGACAGTGGACAAACCAACAGTCTATCAAATTTCTCCTCCTCCATAAAAGAATGCAAAACAATAAGTATTTACAGAAAAGTGCTTGAGAAAGTTCGTTACAAGAATGTAAACATCAGAAGGCTTAGAAGAACTCAAAGGAACAGGGCAACAGACACTGGTGATGGTCTTTTGATTGATTGACCAATTAGGTCAAAGCTGTATCAGACTGTCTGGAAGGGGATGAGTTTCTTAATTAGTATAGTATAGGATAGGATAATGTACTGTAATAAAGTGATTGATCAGCCTTCTGGAATCATGGAGTCAAAGCTAATTATTACCTGGATGGGGGCCTGTGGCAACAGCCCTGGACCCTCAGTCCCCATGTGAGCTGCACTGAGGTGTGCTTGTCTCCAGTGCTCCTCAGCAGTGTGCCCATGCCCATGGCCATGCCCAGCCCTGAGTCTCTGACCCTGACCTGGAGCCTGCCTGCCTGACCTAACCTCAGCTTTGCCTTCTTACTACAGACCTGTCATGGGCTGCGTCTGTCCCTGGTCACCATCGCTGGCCTCATGCTGATCCCAGCCTGCAGACTGACTTTCC